AATGCTAAGAGCTAGTTATTATTTGTTGTAACAGATCAGATATCAATTGATAACCTGTCATAACTTTATATATACATAGACTGAAATTTGTTTATATCATTTAATTAGCACATACAGGAAGCCTTAGTAAAAACTTTAAAATATCTATCAGTGAAAAGTATGTTAATTTTTTTTTATCTCCGTTCCCATAATTTTCAATTTTCAAGAGTTTAAATTCAGTATCTTATGTGTAAAACAGTCGAATTACACAATACTTTTCTTTGCTATCTTGCATTTGTAAACTGACAACATCTAACATCAGACGTGACTTCCGATAATCAACCAGTTGGAGCTGGCAAGACCAAAAAATATATTTGTACGTTGACAAAACTGACTGGTAAAAACCAGGCGACTAGACTTACATATAGAGAGAGGTGGTTTAAATGAGTCACTGCAATACGGATAAATTTAATTATTTTTGAATTTGCGAACCTTTGGCTCGATGCGCTAAACGAGGGTCAAGCCTACGCCTGGGTACACCGATGGAGATTGATTTTACTGGTACATATTTACACTACCCACTCCCCCAATGCAGCAAAATTGTCACTCCGATAATTTTCTCGATCAGTCACGAGCTTTTCCGCCTCCCTTCGGCCAAAGTCCCTCAGGACTACCAATTACTCAGGACTTTTGTTTGGAAAAGTTGATCCGGAACAATGGGCCATTTCTTGATACGAGTTTCCACGAAAAGATATTTCTTATACTCTTTATGAAAAGAATAACAGTGAGAACATTCAGCAAAGGAATGAAACAAAATCGTCATGAATTCTTCACATTATGAGTCTTCTTAAGATACTCCTCACTTAATTTTCAGTTGAAGTCGATTTCCTTCACACTGTCTTTTTGTCGGGAGATAGATTCTCAGCCAATGCGCTTAAAAACATACTGGTATATCAGCCATTTGAAAACCTATCCGATAGACAAATAGAGAAGGCAACGAGAACAAGCGGAGTGCGTATTAAAAAATATCTCGCAGCACACAATCCGTTAAGAATAGCGTCAGCTGAACCACTTCTCTTAGAGTTCACAATGAGGCAATATTACTATCAAGACGTAGTTTACGGCACTTGCACCATCAAACTTATAAGCAGTGAGGAATTTTTCATGCTCAACGTGGTACGCACAGTAGCCATGTGTGCCATCACTAATATTACATGGCCATTCCAAAGAAACTGGATTTCAACCGATAAGTAAATCCACTATGGCGAGAATATTAGAACTTCGAGAGGTCACAAATAAGAAATCATCGAGAGGTCTAGAAAATACTAGAGGGTGCGGATAGTTTTAAAGTTTTTTCCTAATCATATACGAACTAAATAGCATGGGAGAAGAGCTTTAGTACCGCGTCGGCGATGCTGTCAATGCACGCACTGAAAACTTGCAATGGATCTTGGACACTTCCTCTCGCTGATCTGAAGTCCTGTATTTCCCTGCTCCCATGAAACGCAAACACGGCTGATAGCTTAGAAAAAAATAGGCTAGAATTCCGAGCAAAAAATCACATTATCGCTGCCATATTTAGATGGAAGAAGTACACAATTGAATTATGTGACTGTGTCACTGCTCACGGTAAATTTCAGTATGTGCTGTGATAGATTAAGAGCAGTCTCTCCTTTTCAGCTAAGTCCGTCGCGCGAGTCAAAAAGAAAACCGTCAGAGCTGGAAAAAAAAAAAGAGATGATAGCACGCCTCCAGGAGGCACTAACATTTTTTCCTCACTAAATTTTCGACTCGCGCGACGGACTTCGCTGACAAGGAGGGACTGCTCGTGGTCTGGTGCTGTTATTGCCGGTTACGCTAAATAAAATACTGTGTTTGGTTTGAAATGTTCATACAGGTTTGAATAGCTTAAGCTCTCTTTAGTCAACTATAAAACAACAGAAACCAATTTTTTCAAAATAGTTTCTTATTAAAACGTTGACCGACCGCTAATCAATATGATATTCGATACGTTTTGCTCACATTTTTCGTCACGAGACAGAATCATCTGCCAGGTTTTAGCCGTTCAAAATGTTTACAGTATCAATCAGCATGTTATAATTGATCTATCGGACTATCTTTTCTCTTTAAAATCTACAATTTATGAAGCTACTAATAAAGAACGGTCGGAGTTTGCTGAACAGACTAATTTGCATAATTCTGCCGCCAGGGTGGCAAAATCACCAAAAGTTTTAAGACACTAATAACTGCAAGATTTTTTTACATTTTATGCTTTCGAATATCTTATTAGTGATTAGTAATTATTAAAGGTCCGGTCTGGACTTGAGAAATATCACCCAAGAAAGAAAGAGTAGTTTTGACCAATTTCAAAAAGCTTTCAAACGATTGTTTTCAATAAATTATGGCGAACCTCTGAATAACATATCAAAATTGAAATACCTTCCAAACCCTTGAGATATCACACAATTTAAGAATCCAAACCTGCTGCATGTAGTATGTTACGAGGAGCGAGCCAATCACCGTGAGAAATTTTCGATGCCACAAGAGGTCAAAAACGGGCCTTATGCAGCTTTGATTATTGAGAGCTCTCAAAAGAAATTTATAACGTATTTCCAGAAACCAATGTGGTTTTATTTACTTACTCCCAAAGATAGTTTAGTGGGCAAAGTTTGAGGCAAACGTTTCTCCGATGCGAAATGCCTTGGACCGCTCTAACAGAGATCGCCACTTAGTGTGTGTCTTGGTAAAAATTTTAAACACTTCACCCAAGACACAAACTAAGACTTCTTTTCCAGAGGAAAAAAATGATCTTCATTGCATTCTGAAGTTGGCGAAAGAAAATTCCATGGTGATTTGAAAGAGATGGCATCTTTTAACACAACATTTCCAGAAATGAACTGAAAATATAGTTCATCTGAAAGCTTTAAATGCTCTACCAGCAAAAAATATCGACATCACCTTTGTCTGCAACAGCCCGGCAATGAAACCACGTGATCAAAACAAAACACGCAAAACCAAAGGGAGGCATCGTGAAAATGAAGGCTTTCCCTTTAAAATACATCACATACGACTTAGATATATATAGCGACAGGCTATTCGTACAGTGTTGACGATTTTAGGTTGTTGTGCGACTGGACATTAAGGTTGTGGGTCCTAATTCAACGACCACTGCCCTGATTTGTTTCTGCAACGGAAAGCAGTAAAATATTAATACTATTTGGCGTTTTTAGCAAATAAATTATTTATAGGGTGATTGTCCATGCCACTCAGAAAAGAAAACCTTACGCTCATGATCTTAAAAATTGAATCTTTGGCATAAGTTTTTTTTGAGGAACGCTTAGGCGCAATTCCGAACATCTTTAAAGTTAATTATCTGGTTTCTCTTCCTCCAAATGACCAAATAACCAAAGTGTACTCGTTGTTTTCTAAAATATTATCCGTTTATACCAATGGAATGAGGCAATGTGTTTTCTCCTCAAATGAAAAATTAAAACAACCTATTCATAGGGACGTAGTATTTGTGTGATTTGTTGTTAATATCCAATGTTTTAACTGATTAACGTCGTAAAAGGTTCTTGGAAGGGAAAGTAAGGTCATTAGATACTTGAAATTAGTTGCCTTGAAGAAAAGTTGTATTTTTATTCCTTCAGTAAATTGCATTAAGTGCGAATATCTCTTCATAAAACAAACAGATGAGGTGCAGTATGGGATCAGCAGGTATCAATTTAGCAGGCGAAATTTAGACTTTGATTGCTTTGTTAACTTTTGCCGTGTTTAAAATGAAAGTGTTTCATGTTTTGTTCACTTCTTTTTGTGTTCTCTTGTTTATCCCTAAACCTTTTAACTCCCACGAGTGACTAAGATAGAATTTCTCCTTACAATATCAGTATAATATCAAGCAAACAAGTGATTAGAATAAAGAAAAATATCAATTCGGGGATTTTAAGTTGATCCAATACCAAATTCTCTAAACTAACATCACAAGAACTGTATGGCAAACCGTGAGTAAGGAGGATTAATAATGAGATCTTGGGAGATAAGGGGTTAAGTCTTCTCGCGTGGGTACTCTAGATCTAGTAGTTTTGCATACCGGAACTGAAATTTTAAATTGAAAAGAAAGTATCTAATTTTCGGAAGCATGATTGTTGACATGTCCATAATGGGAAACTCTCTTTTAAGATCTTGAGAAATTCCTTTAATAAGGATCCCACTAAATGAACTCAAATGCATTTTCTACTACAGTCAAACAACCGTTAAAAAGAAATAAATACTACTGTGGAAGCCCTGAGTTCTATTTCTGCAGTTTTAACACTAAAGGAGTTGACTAAGATTAAAATATAATTTCTGTATATAAAAACATTGAACTCAGATGCATGATACATATCAAGCATAAAGATTTATTTTTTGTTCACATTGTGATTAGTTTGCTCTAATACTAAATACTACAATATAGTTCTCAAGCTAATTTTTGAAAAAAAATAGATGACACAAATGTTGTACTCTTTCCGCAACACGCTACAAACAAGTAAGAACAATACAGAGGCCTACAAAAAGTTCAAAACAGGATGCAGAATTCTAAATTGATTTTTTTGAAAAACGAATCAAAGAGGCACCATCTAAACTACTAGGTAGCCATTACTTAAAACGCATAACTGAGATATGTTGCAGGCAGTTGTCGAAACTAAATGTAAAAGTTGTTAGTCAGCAAAATGACATTTAAATGTACTCGTCTTTGAAACAAAAATCGAATCGAAAGCACGCCTCTTCTGACTTCACCCGCTCTTTCTCGTTAAACTTATGTCTGAACCTCACTTCATTTAGGAGATTCTAATTGGTGGAGTGAAGCCATAAAGGGAAAGAAATACTATTGCAGGTTCAAAAAATGTATATCCGAGCCTTCATACTCTCCGACCTACCAGTCAGTGGACTCAGAATTTGTAATTTGGTTTAGGGCTTGTTAACTCCATTACTGATCACAAATGTATTACATTATGATTTTTAACGTATAATTCTTATAACTTTTAACGGATCCATAAGTTCAACGAGTAGGACAGGGATGGAGCGGTTTTCGTTTCAGCATCATAACCAAAGTCATATTCAGTTTCACTACGACCTACTTCAACGAAAGAAGCTGCGCCAGTTTCTGTGATCCCAATCCCATGATCAGCACGTGCACAGCTACTTCCTCCTCCACCAATCATCATGACTGCTCCATCCCCAATATCCCAGTCACACCAGAAGCCGATCTTGTCATCGCTTTGGATGCTTCCACTGCAATAAGCGTGTTGAAACCCGTCTGTTGACTGGTACTGTCCGCCATATTGAACCGTACAACTTCCCAGACACCGATCACTGGCCCAGGCCTTGCCATTTCTAAAGTCGCCATAACTTGTGATTTTAGATCGGAATGTTTGTCCACCCAAACAGTTACCTGTGGTCTGTAACAGAGGGGTGTGGCTGGGGTCGTCACTGCGCGTGATCTTAAATTCGCTTCCTCTGACCAACCAAAATGCTGGTGAGATCATATCAGCGTTTACTGATGGATCATTTGTTGTTCCATCGGCAGCTTGCTGGTCATACCACCATCTACCATCGTCACGCATCCAATTCTTGCCATCGCTGTTTGAGAATCGAGCGATAAGGGTCCATCCTTCAAGACTTACTGTGATATCACAATAGACCTAAAAGTACATTGCAAATATATTACAATCAAAAGCAGGGCATTTATTATTTTGGTTATAAGATGGTGAGGAATTGATAAAATACCTTGATAGATATGAAGTACTCTAACAGCTTTAAAACCATAAGATAAAAAATTGAAATATTCACCGGGAGGCTTGGGATCTAGTCGTAACTCTTGCACTCAGTGAGAAGGAGGGGTGGGATAGGAGAGGTGAGAATGAAAGTGAGAAGGCACCTCTTCACATCAGGAAAGGTTTTTCTCTCACCAAGAGTCTCTTTTAAATTCAAATGTGTAATTTTTTAATTGCCATCGCGACTGAATTTTTGACTGGAAGATGTAAATAGGTGCAACCTATTGAAAAATGCGTGCTTTCTTGCTGGTATGTGCTAGGAAATGTTCTCGACGGAAAAATATTTTATAATCTTTGGATTCCTGGGTGATGCTAAGATGGCGACTATTAACATTTTTTTATTAAAGTTTATACTGTCAGTAAGGCTGAAAGAAAAGTCGAACTACATTGAACTCTTTATTTGGCTTAAAAAAGTTCTCATCCGGAGAGGAAAAAACAGAGAACACAACAGAAAAATTCAACACCGAACAAAACAAAAACAAACAACAAAACAAACCAAGGACAGGAAAAGTAACAAAAATTGTTTTATCTACGCGATCGTCTTTAAAGAAAGAGGCAAAGCTTGAAAGTGTGAGAATTGATAGGATAGTTTCAACTTAAGATAAAAGAGGCTATTCATATACAACCCTCTTCGAATCAACAATCACACCATGTAAATTTAAAACTATCCTTTTAACCCTCACACTTTCATGCTTTGCCTCTTTCTTGTTGTCGGCATTTATCATAATTAGCATTTTCTACTCACTATAAATTCAACTTCCAACGCTTTGTACATTAATTAACTGAAAATGACAGAAGTTTCTGTCCAAACATGTTTTACAAACTTAAAAGTTTTGTCGTTTTCTTCAAATTCTTGACTTGCCTGCTACTATTAAGAACCTTTGGAAGTATTTATTCTGAAAGAGAAATAAAGGCTCTAGACTTACTTTATATCGAAAATTGACCGCGAGAAGCTCGAAGCTTCCGGGACGTCTCTCCATTATTTTCTTTGAAACTTCTTCACAAGAATGTACTGAAAGTTGATAAAAAGAAGGCATGGATAATGAATAAGAAAAGGGAGGAAATATTTACGAAGATATCAACATGTTTTTGTGGTTCTCGATCTAGAAAGGGAGGCATAAGAACACACAAGAACAAGAAAGCACACAGAACAGAACTAAACGAAAAACCTAAATCACACCGACAGTGAAAAATTGTTGGATGCCAATTTTTTTATACGGTCGCCTAGATGTTAGTAATGAGATAACCGCTAGCCTGAATGTAGGCAATATCACGACAAATGTCTTAAACTTAGGATTTTTCACATTTCGACGAAGATACCGGCTAGTTACTCACGGGATAGGCCAGGAACTAGGGCATGTAGTTGTTTGTTTGTTTATTGGTGTTATTGACCCACCTATTCATGTATTATAATCATCATTTTGAGTCTCACGTGCAAGATATTGTCGGAGATCATGACAATCAGGGACGTGACCCCAGTCAGTTTTAACGACGCTCTTATAAATCTTTGATTATTGAAAAGAGCGCTCCGAGATGCTTAACCATGTAACAAGTGTTTGTATTTTTGGAATTCTGTACAGTTTTTGTTAATTTAAGTAGGCTATTGGTGTTACTGTCATGACAGAATTGGTCTCTGGATTGGTATGCAATGAGTATTTGATAACTGGAATGATGGCAAGTCATATTATTGATTTAAAGACACCTTTTGTCTTGACGACTACTGTCGTTGTTGTTTCTGCCAGTCCGAAGCGGTTTCTTGCGCGGCAGACATATGTCCCGTTGCTGTTGAACCCAACAAGGTTGTATTCGAGGCAGCCTTGTTCCTCGAAAGCCAATGACGTATCAGCGGAGTGCACCTGACGAGCGCGTGACCATTCCACGTTAGGAGGAGGAGAGCCCACAGCCTCGCAACAGAGACTTAAAACGGAGCCTTCATCTACAATGACCAAAGATGGTAGTTTCTTGACAAATGTTGGTGGCTCTGAAGGTAGAGTAAAATAGATTCAAAAACCGACATGTAATAAACAACATCATGTGATCAATAGCAACCGTCAGCAATAGCAACTTTTGGTAACATCGGAGAAAACCTTTAGCGTTGAAAATAGCAAGAATATACAACTAAAACCTATTATACTTTTTAACATTATCAAGTAGACATAACTTTTCCCGTGATCGATATTAAAGGTGCTAAATTGCTATCTGAACACACTCAATGTCGACGGCCCACTGTGGAAGGACAAAAATGTGTAGTTCATTTACAAGTGGCAGTCTACACTGGTGTTAAAGAAACAAATATTAAAAAAATCAGAAAAATGAGGGAGTGATATCCATACCTTTTACTTGTAAAGTGCTGAAACCCGTTAGATTTCTGAGACCAGTGTTAGCTGAACACATATACGACCCCACATGTGACCTTTTTACGCTGTTGATTCGAAGCGCACCATCTTCCACGGTAGCATCAGATAGAGTACCTCCAAGTCTACGCCATGTTATTTTGGACGACGTCTGGCCTTGAACCCAACAGAAAAATATTGCTGTCTCATTGATAAAGACTTCCTGAGATGCTGGATACACACTGATCTCCGGTGGAACAACACATTCTCTGGTAGGTCCCTGAATACCAACCAATCCTCTGTCCCCTGTGTTCCCTTTTAAGCCAATAGATCCTTTTTGTCCTTGACGACCCTTCTCTCCAGTCTCTCCTCTAATACCACGAGCTCCAACGGGCCCTTTGTCACCTTTTTCACCCTTTTCTCCTTGAGGTCCCACTGGTCCTCTAACACCACTTTCGCCTGGAACCCCAGTGGGCCCCCATGGACCTGGTGGTCCTTTACTTCCAGGGGCCCCTTTTTCTCCGTTATATCCGGGATACCCAGGGGCTCCTGGCGGTCCCGGAGGTCCTGCCTGGCATATTCTGTCTGAGGAGTTACAAACTTCATTGAACTTGTTATTTATTTCTTGGCGGATTTGTTGTAAAGTTATGGTTGCTGGCGTTGGACTCAAAGCAGCATTTCTTTTCTGTCTTTGGTGATAATCCACATTATGTGTTTCCATTCCGCTTTCAAAATCTGTATATTACAGATATAAAAATATTAGCCATTTATATTCTGAAATCAGTATGCAAATTCTCCATACATTTACTAAGACGGTGACAAGGAGAATTAGTTGAACAATCAAAAGGTTCTTTATTTGGTATTTATTTCCTCTATTCTCATGACCATAATGCTTGATTCAGGGGTGAAATTCAGGAGAAATTAGATGCTTGTCTTTCTTGGAAACAGTTACACCTTGTTTGATTAAAAAATATCAAATTTTGAGAACAACATCAAAACATAGGTTGACAGCAACCTTACCATCTATTTACACAATCTAATTGAATTTATCCGACCTACTTCTAATTAGTTAAAAAATAGGTCAAAAGTAACCCGCTATTTAACTATGTGCTTCACAAAATGATTGACTGAAAATCCGGCTTTTGCAAGGTGAATTTTAGTTCTTTTCAATCTCCGAAGAATTTTTTTGGGGAAATGATTCAGCGTGATTTAATCAAATTTTAAAGTTGGATAAAATGAGTCGATTCGAGAACGGGAATTGGCGATATTTTCAATAACAATGATAATCCAGTGTTTAGGTGCTAGTTTCGTATTCGCGCGAAAAAAAAAAGAAACGTTATGGTCCAGCGCAAAAGTTTTGACATAAAAATAGTCAGTCGAAAAACTGCTCAAATAATTTGTATGATCCAGTAAAAACTCCATTAATCAGTAGCATCTACTACCTCAGCAACCTCCCACCCCTCCCTGCGTACTAATAGTTCGTCTTCCACCCCTCTCTTAGTAGAAAAAGTCTGTCTACCACCTGCACCCCTCCCTGAGTACTGATAGACTGCATCCCAACCCTCCCTAAGTACTAATGGTCTGCCTCCCCCGTGATTAAGCGGTTCAAAAATTGAACCAAAAAAGGGTCTAAAAATTGGTCCACATAAATGGTCCAAAAAATGGTCCAAAAACTAGCCCAATGGAGTAAGGGTCCACTGGTTCAGTCCATATTTCACCTTATGTCCTGTTATCTGTCATTCATTTTCCGAGGTCAGTGGCTAATAACCTCATAGAGTAATCATCTCTAGATCAAGACGACTAAACTACCTTGATGAAAACTTTTTGACACAAAATAATTTGTCAAGTCACTTATCTGCTTGAACCATGATGGTTTTGGCAACATGTCTAACCATTTTCGAGCCATTTGATAATTTATTTTCTACATGATAAACGAAGGAAGCATCGTTCAATCTAATGTAGAGTTTTAGCGATGATTTGGTGGAAATCACATATATTGCCCCAAAGAGTTTAGGCTTTTGTCTTACTCTCTCTATAAAAGAAAAAGGTTTGCAATGAGAATAACGCAATTGTCGCAAAATCTAGACGTAAATGTACAAATAATCTTTTACAGTACCTTCTCTGCTGATAAACCTAAGAACGAAATTGTATAGAGACAATGGAACCATTAAATTTGAGTGTCTAATAATCTACTCACTATTGAGCAGTTTACAAAATTTGGGAATTTGGGGTGCCTCCTAGTGTAAATGTTATTGCTACAATGCCCATTCATGCAAAACTACCGTCGTAGACACATTGATCGATGGGGAATGGTATGTGTATGCGTTGCTGAGCTTCCATCTAGGAAAGCACCGATAGAAATGATCGGGATTTAGTACTAAGATTGCCTTCTTTGAATCTATGTTGTGAATTAGTGTACCGTTAAGATGAAACTAAATCGCCCCAAATTATTGGAGACGGGCTAATTTCATGGGATGAAGCCGGATTCCTTAGGGCAAATCATCATCGACTTGCAAATAAAATTTTACTTACCCTTTGACAGTTTCCCCTCGTTACCTGCTCTTTTCCTCAAAACGGCGACCTTAAGGTGAGCTTCAACATCTGAAATGCGAAGTTCGTTCCTCTTCGTGTTCCTGTTTATTGTTTCCATCCTCAAGAACAGCGCAACAATCAACAGAATGGAAATGAAAGAAAGAATTGAAGAGCATCTGTGAAAAGCATCGTTTGAGCATTTTGCAGAATGTTTCTTCGTAGAGTCCATTGCAGCTTCAAGGGGATTTGAGTGAACAGCTTCCCTGATTAGCAAAGTCTGTACCGTTTCGCCAGCGGGAACCAATAGTTTATGCTTCGCATCGTATGCGTGAAGTCTAAATTCATCGTTTTGCTCTTAGAGAATCGGGATGGAATTTCATCCTTCTCTGTGTTATTGAAAGAATGTTATTTGTTTGTTTAGTTGTCTTGTTTTTTCCTTTCTCGGTTGGAAAAGAATATGCCCGGAGAGCACGGTTACAAGGGTCCGCACGCACAGTTTGCGTGGCTTTTTCCATCTGCAGTATCCTTGTTAAAAAGTATCCTTGTTGAAAATTCTTGTTTTCCATGATGATATGATAAAATTCTGACGAAACTAATGCAAATAGTGCCTTATTTGTGTCAAGGTGTATATCGTATTTGCGGGTGACAAGCCATGGAAGTCGTTAAATTATTATTTTGTTACATTAATCATATATTTGTCCGGTTAAGGTATTAAGTGAGTTGCTTGTTATCTTTTTTATTTAGTTGTCTTGTTTTTTCCTTTTTCGGCTTGGAAAGAATATGCCCGGAAAGCACGTTTACAAAGGTCCGCACGCATAGTTTGCTTGACTTCTTCCATCTGCGGTATCTCTGTGCCCGATTAAAATTTTAGTTTTCCTTGATGATATGATAAAATACTGACAAAACTAATGCAGATGGTGCCTTATTTGCGTCAAGGTATTTATCTTATTTGCGGGTGACAAGCCATGGAAGTCGTTAAATTACTTTTTTCACATTAATCATATATTTTTTCCGGTTAAGGTATTAGTGAGTTGTTTGTTATCTTGCTTGTTTTATCCTTTTGCGGTTAGGAAAGAATATGCCCGGAAGGCACATTTGCAGAGGTCCGCACGCATAGTTTGCTCGACTTCTTCCATCTGCGGTATCCTTATGCCCGATTAAAATTCTTCTTTTCTTTGATGTTAATGGCGAACTACTTATTAAACTAATGCAAAATAGCGGTATAGCGGTATATATCGTAATTGCGGCCATGGAAGTCGTTAAATAAATTTTTCTTGCATTAATCATATAGAATTTGTGAGTTTAACTGTAAGTGAGTTCAAGTCCGGCAGTTTCTTTTGATACAACAAACTTTAACTGGAAAATCAACACTTGACAATGTTAATTTTCACCCATTACTCACGGTGCTAAGCGGTAAAAAGCACATGGGTATAAATTATAGCAGCAAAAATTTCTTTTTAAATTTTGATTTAGACAAAGGTCTAAGTGCCAGGAATTATATGGATAAAGACATCACACAGATTTCATTTTAAATTATTCATGAAAAATAAACATCGTTTAATTGACCTTTTCATTTCACATGGTAAAAATTTACAATTATTTTGACTGGTAAGCCCCTTTTGTAGTGTTTTTGTCCTTACGTCTGTACAATCGGAGTAAATACAGCGCAATTTTCTTCAAATCGACTCATCTTGAAAGAGGTCTCTTTGGGAGACGGTTTTTCATTAACTGGCATCAAGGAAAGATCCGCTCTGAATACTAATCCATGGTAGTTTCAGTATTTCATTTACTCGCATCAAGGAAAATCCGCTTTGAAGACTAATCCATGCTAGTTTTCGTTTAAAACAAGCACTCTCCATGAATTTGACTTCCATTGAGTTGTAGTAAAACTTTGCCAACACCTTTCAAAGCCAAGTGCTGTCTTTAAGAGGAAAATCCTGATTTTCCGCAAATAAAAAATATTTCTGTAGCTTATTTCCACGAGCAGTCCATACTGCGGAAAAAATTGAACCTTTTTGAAAGAGAGTAAGACAAAAGCCTAAAAAGATCTCAAGCAGACAAATACATCATCTAAGGAATTTTTGGCCAATTCTCCATTAGTGGTCTAGATTTTAGTCTCAGGCCTCCTGATATACTGAACTATTGGATGCTCAATTAATTAATGACGTCTATTTTCTTTTTAGTCAGGTTTGGTTTACACGTTCTTAGAAAAACCTGAAAATTATTTAGTAGACTATACATGAATTTATGACATAAGTTAGACACAATGTGGGCTTTGATTGGTCAAAGATCTATTGTTTATTTGCTGTATACCCACAGAATTCTGTCTTGTGAAACGGCGCCGCACGGGGCTAATTCCCAGATTTGAAATTTGTTAACAGTCTTCGCTTTGGAGGAAAAGAAGAGGACATTTTGAAAATCAAAAAACAACGAAATCTATTTATTCATTTATTTATGCCAACTTAATTGAACATGTATCGTTCTTAAAACATTAAGCAAATCTTAAATATCCTTCTTATGTATCACTAAACCGTCATCAATGAATATCTCATGTCTCCAGAAGAAGATGAGTTACGAATCTGACTTATGGCTGTAAATTTATGAAAATCATATGTGTGCACTGCAGTTGAAGAAACGAATAGAAGCGATCCTCGCAGTTGAAATAAGGCCTGAACAAAATTCGGGCCCGAACGGGATTTGAACCATGACCTCTGCGATACCGGTGCAGCGCTCCACCAACTGAACTAACAAGCCAACTGGGAGCCGGTTATTATGTTGGCCAAATAAACCTTCCAAGTGGTGAATATACGTGGTGAACTCGTCTTTATTTATGCGAATTCAAGTCACATTTTCATCATTGATAATTTATTTTGCTTACCTTAAATTCTACTTCTCCAGCTTTTAACAGATATTCGTCATCCAGTAACTGCCTGTTATTCATTATCTGAGCAACCTTATCGCATGAGTCGAAAACGACTGTAGGATAAATCCAACTTAAACATAACAGCTCTCTCATTGCGTGGAGTATGATTTCATGAAACTGCTTTGAAGAGGTTCTCAATTAGGGTAACAGTTTGCCGTAAAACAGCAAGAAAGTTTAGCTGCTAGGCGTCAAAAGTGACCAATTTTAACCGTTAGCAGAAAAAAAAATTGATCGTAAAAAATTTTCAGGTAGCCACAATAGAAGGATATTTAAACAATAGCCACTATTTGGCGCGAAATATGTAAAGATATTTGTCTGGAGCATTAACTATTTCAAGATGCGAGAACGATGCTCGAGGAAAACGATGAGCAAATTAGAGGCTATTGTGTCCATAATCCTTCAAATATTTTGCAACGCGCGTGAAAAAATGTTTACGGACAGCTTACTGTATGCAGCGTGGGATGTTCTCTTTTGAGTGTTTTTTGGAACGACTAATGAACAAAAAAGATTTCCCTTCATCTGTAACAACCACAAAACCCTCTCTCATCTTGAATTGAATTTGAAACGTCTTAGAAACGTCTTAGAACAGCGATGTCTTTAATAGTGACATAGGAGCACACTCAGGCCACAACGGCTAACGGTACAGAGTTAACTACGGTAATAAGAAAGTTTAATTTGTGACAAGACTGTAGAGGGGAGAGGTCTGCCAGAAGGCCAAAGTTTTCCTCTCGGTCGCACAAGAAATGTAAGGTAGTGCGTGGCTGCAGCGTTTTTAAGGATGACTCAAGAATGACTCAAGAATGAGTCAGTTTTAAGAATAACTTAAGAATGACTCAGCTTGTGAGTACAGTCGCCTGACTGGACGTGATGCATGATGTCACGAAGCACCTGCCGTAGAAATTTTCAGTTCGATTGTTGGACACCGCGGCTCAGAAAATATGAGTCCACAATCAGAGGATTGTGTACGTGTGAAATTAGTTCGTGAATCGCGGTATTGTCTTTAACATTCTTTTTCTAATTCCACTTCCAAATTCCAAATTTTCCACTCACTGGGTTGCGTGACGCTGTCAACTGGAGACTGGGTACAATGCTGAGTCATTTCTACCTCAGCTCTTTTTGCTTAATCGTGTATTAATTCATCAAGCTCGGGTGAGATTTAACAGTTTGTGAAACATACCCTCAAGTCATTCAACGGAAAATGTCTGGTTACGAGTTGCACTACTTCAATGTCCGCGCAAAAGGAGAGGTTGGTCGTCTCGCTTTGTCAGCTGCGAATTTCGAATTCAAGGATCTACGCCATACTCGCGAACAATGGCTCGAAATCAAAGCTTGTGAGTATTTCATTTTCTTGATCAACATAACGTCTTAATAATTTTCTCCACTTCAGATTATTTCAAACAGTAGCTCAAGTAAAAGAGAAATTGAAAAAAAGTATATATCTCCTCAGACCTAAATCCTATTGATCGATCAGTCGATATTATGCAACGTTTCAAAATATATAGACACATTGTGAATATAGGGAATTGCTAAAATACATGCAACTGACGTTATTTTTACAATTTCGATTTGGTTTCTGCATAGCTACACGAATGAATCTAGTGTGGAAGTCTTCAGAGTAAAGCTCTACCTGCATAAATTAGGGTCTAACGGAGAGTTTATCGGTCACGCAATATGTAAATATTGTGCTGGAATATTCGGATCAACTGACGGCAGTCAGTACTCCCCGCCGAGATGTTAAAAACTGTTATTCATCGGTTCTGTCACAAAACCTTAGGCAAACTCTGTCGCCCGGTTAAAAAAAAAGGAAAATGTTAGCGTGCCGTGCTAAACTCATGAAGTGCGGCGCTAACATCGATTTTTTTTTAATAACTTCATTCAAAACATTGACGTCGTCACTTAATGACTGACCGGATATCTTCCCTGAAATCATCGACATATAACAATCATTTTTAACCTTCTTTTGTTTTTGTTTTAGCTGGAAAGCCTCCGCTCGGCCAAATGCCATTTATTGTGACTCCTGAAGGAAAAACACTGGCGCAGTCTGATGCAATTTTGAAGTACATTTGCAAAAAGGGAGGTGGGTAACGTTATGAGTTGTGATAAAGCTATGAAATACTTGTAGAACCAAATATTGTAAGTCAGACTGGAGAGGTTATTATCAGGAAAATACAATAAAGTGGCAGATAAGGGATTAAATATTGGCAGTGTATGATTCCCCTATTACGCAACGATGATAACTCCGGAATTGAATATTCAGTCACAGATCAGCTACCAAGCAGTTGTTAGAGTCACTTAGTGTCTGATATGCTAAGAACAAATTTGTTTCATTGCATACCGCAATATCCCCTCCATATGAACCCTCCAAGTCAATCCTGTTTTCCTTCCTTTTTTTCTTGTTTTAAAAACTAACCCTATATTTCTGCGACTTAACAGCGGTCTTTTTAAATAACTCCTTTATCCTTTACAGGCTTGAGTCCAACCGATCCCTGGGATGAAGCAGTAGCGGACCAGATCTGCGGTGGTGTCGACGATCTTCGTCTTGCAGTAGTTAAGGCCCACTTTGAAAAAGATGAGGCTAAAAAGGTATGTATCTGTTGAAAATTCATCCATCTTTGGTTTTCAAATTTGAAGTTTGCTTGGCCAAAATTCTAACGATCACGACCTAAAGCCGAAAAGACAGCCTTAATTTAAACCCAGTGGTTCTAGTTCTAGTCATTGCGTAGGACTAAGGAAGCAGAGGTTACTAATAATTAGATTGTGACTCGTTTCCCTTGTTATGATTGGTTAGTTTTGTGTAAATTACGCCAGTAACGTTATAGCCTTGCAATAAGATCTTTTCAACATTAACTCTGTTTGTTTCTGTTTTTCAAAGGAAGAACTAAGGAAAGAATTCCTGGAAACCACGCTGCCCGCCCGACTTGCAAATTACGATGCTCTTCTGAAAGGAACATATTTCATGGGTGATAAAGTAAGTTGCTAAGTTACGGGTGTATTGTACTTGTTATGGGACTCAAAGTAACCTGATGGCTGGCGGACTGAGCTCCAAAACGAAAGGTCTGGGTTTAAGTCCTGAATGGGACTTTGTGTTGTGCTCGTAAACAAGACACTACCCTTTCACAGTGCCTTACTTCATGTTGTAGTATACTTGGTTTCTGGACAGGGCTAGGGAAACCAGAAGAAAAAAAATGTCTAGGGATAACCTGAGATCGAATAGCATAGAATTCGAAAAGAGCAAAGATACTCTTAGTCACGTGATGCTAAAGAAACAGGAAAATGATCTGGTGATAAAGGCCTCGTGTCGTAAGTGCATACTTTACAAAACGGACACCCTGTGCAACATATCTTCAGTAAAGTATTTAATACCTACTACGCATGCTCTAATTAGTCAGAATCCATCGTCTATTGTTTTGATAAACTCATACCTGTTTTGAACCAGCGATTAACTCTACCATCTGCGGGTTTACCGGTGTAACAATCCACTTGGGATGGTGGGTGTACATCGAATTAAAAAAATGCTGGTGATTTAAAAGCTCTCCTCTAGTTTTTTGAACATCGCGCAGGGGCAACCGCACCCATACATCGAAAAAAAACCGGTCTGTTGCTTAAATGCCAATAGGTAATAGCCTCTATTTGGCGCGAAAATATGAGCGGTTATTTGTCCGCGGACATTTTCTCTTTCAAGATGCGAACAGTTTCAGCTGTGGAATATTCGGTAAAGTGTTACGTTGAGACCAGTCACCGACAAAAAAGATTTGATGGATCATAACTAATGATATTGCGATTAATATTCTAAGGTATGGAGAATGGGAGGCTTAAAAACATAAAAAGGGCGAGGAATAGCACTGTTTAACAGTTCAGAATGATAAAACAAAACATAATGACTATTATTCTGTTTAACCCAGGGAAATGAATTTGAGACGATATTCAGCTGGATTTAAACTATAGTATGATTTTACGAATATATACATCTTTGTAAGAGAACGGTTGTTTCTCAGACGGTCTTATACTTGCCCTTTTTTTTTCTAGTTGACCTATGCCGACATTACCTTCTTCGACTTCTTTAACGGCTTCATGAACAATGGAGCACCTACCGTCCCGGATTGTCTCAGCAAATTTCCAAGGCTGGTGGCGCATTATGAGAAAGTGCTGGAAAATGCAGGAATAAAGGCTTGGGTGGAGAGGCGCCCTAAGACTGACTTCTAAGCAATTTATCTGTGATTGTGAAAGCAGAATGCTTGATTCTCAAATGTTAATCTATGAAATAAATTGCTGAAAAAGTTACCACGATCGTTTACAATTTTCTCAGCTCAGGTCGCTTCTCTGGCCTTTAGGTGCCCACAATAAAAATGACAACGGCCCCTATAGGAATCCCCATACTACATGTTTGTCAGTTCACCATGGAGAAAGATAAAAAATAGATGAATTAAGAGTTGCTATTTTAATGAAAATAATACCATGTCATCCGGTGTTCTTCTTTTACCTCTAGTAACAAGAGGCCCCCTCCTCCCCAGACCCCTCTCCCCAAAAAGACCAAACGCCAGTTAAAGTTTGAATTAAACAGATCTCACACAGAAAATAACTTTCCAGTTTAGTTTATTTTTTTTCCATCACTTCACAGCTGGTAACCAACAACTGGTTGGAATCACAAAACATTTATTGCTCTGTTACTGGGCGTGTCTCGATCCATTTCTTTATTTCTGGCACATCCAGCACACGTTTGTAATGTGCAGCCAATAACGGGAACTTTTCGAGTGCTTTCATGACCGTGAGTTCAACTTTTTCCAAAAGGTTCATCAGGTCAAAGAAAATGATGTCAGCATATGTAAGCTGTGAATAGATATCATAAAATAAATCTGTATTAGCCTGGGATGTAATTTTTGAGAAGAAAAAGAGAAGAAGAAGAGGAAGAAAAAAAAGAATAATGATCAAAATAATGATGCTAATAATTATTATGGTGATGGTGATGATAGTAATGGGACTTTTGAGTAAATTATACATTCAGCAAATGCACTTATCTATTTGCCATAATCGACATCGTGATGCATTTTTAAATAGTACAATGGCAAGAGGCTTTAACATCATTTATTCCACGAATAACAATGTGAATAAAATCAAATAAACCTAAATAGAGGATAAAATTAAAAAATTGAAGGAAAGGTCATGCATGCCTTAAATGGATGGTCTTGTACGGGAAACAAATCTTGCATATGTTAACATAAAGATCATACTTGTTTTTATCAACAAACTCTTACCTTCTCACCAACATAGAATCCCTTGCCTTCGTTGTTGGCTTTCAGAATATTTTCATATTTTGGCAGTCGATTAGGAAGAGTTTCTTCAAAGAATTCTTTCATTAGCTCCGTCTACAAAATAATTTTGACAAACAAGGAAAACAAAAAACCCAAAGTGAAGGAATTGGCCTAAAATTAGTTATAATGAATTGGTGGTCAGGGGAAATGAGGGGAGAGTTGGCTGAGTAGGCAAATGGGGATAGGTTAAAACAAAAGCATTGGTATAGTACAAATAGGGAGAGAGAAAGTAGGGGAGAAAATAAAGAGAGGGAGGTAGGGAAAGGAGAGGGGGAGAAAAAATGAGAGGGAGAGAGTTAATGAGGGAAAGGTTGCATGGGAGAGAAAGGTACAACAAATGAGGCAATGACAGAGGTAGGGGAAGAGCAGGGTAAGGGAGGTAGAAAGGCGGGGGGGGGGACAGAAAGGAGAAGAAGAAAGCACGGTGGGAGCTAAAGAGGGACTGCAAAGGAGAAAAGGAAGGAAGGGATACATTGGAAACTGATAACACTAACCATCTAAGGAAGTATGGGAGAGGTAGGGTGGTCAAAAAGTTAGCTGACCAAACTAAAAAAAGAAAGGAAAGAGCTTACAACAAGAAAATAGGGGCAGGCTGTGAGAAAGACAAAAATGGGTGAGACAGATCTAAAGATAGTGGCAAACAGAAGAGATCTGAAGGTAAGTAGTGAATAAGGTATTGAGATCTGTAAAGACAAGTGATAAAGATCATAAAGTAGAGGACCTGGTACCTTTTTAGCTTCCTCCTTTTCCATATGAGCCTTTATCAAAGCCTGGAAAAAATCTTCAATACCACCCACAATCATATTAGCAATTGCCTTGAGCATCAAAACTGTCTTTTGGGCTCAAACCTATATGTAATAAAACAATAGTGGTTATGTCTGTGGGGATAAACAATATGTTTTGGCCATGACTCAGAGTCATTTCTGCTTGACCTGCTTGGCATGAGTTAGTTTGCACCCATCAGGTAATTTTCAATCTCTGATCATTTGTACCAAACAAAACACCAACATGTCACCCACAAAGCTAGGAGAAATTTTTGAATAATCATAGCAACTTTTCAGAAGTTTCATTTTATGTGGTAATGTTTGAGAATCAAGCATTCTGCTTCCACAATCACAGATAAATTGTTTAGAAGTCAGTCATGGGGCACCTCTCCACCCAAGCTTTTATTCCCACATTTTCCAGCACTTTCTCATAGAGTGCCACCTGCCTTGGAAATTTCCTGAGACAATCCCAGATAGTAGGTTTTCCATTGTTCATGAAGTCAATGAAGAGGTCAAAGAAGGTAACGTTGTTTTGGGTTACAAGGTGAGATTAAGTAAATAAATTATTCACTAATCAAGCACAGAAAATTGAAATTTTTCCTGTGACATAGTGATGGTAATAGATAGGAACATTACTGTTGCTGCTTCATAAAGAAAAATATTCATTTCTTTAGTGATTACTCACCTCCTATTTTGCAAACATACTTCATGATTGCTTGAGACTGACCAAGCACTTTTCCATCTGGGGTCACGAGAAATGGTGCCTGACCAAGAGGGGGTCTGCCAGCTGACAAAAGAAAACATAAAAATTAATTGAGAGAGATAACTAGATGATAAATTAATACATAAGTTAATAGTTAACTGAACTATAGATAGTTACTTAGAGAGATATGGATGATGAAAAACACATGGATTTGAATAAATTTATGGTCAAATGGAAACAAAAAGAAATAACCAGAAAAGGGATGTCTTATCAAAGGAATGAGCAAATAAGCAGGAATTTAACAAAATTAACCATAAGTAAACATGTCAATCGCATTACATTTGCTAAATTAAGACAAAAATATAATGGACATGTGAATAAATATGACATGCATTTAATTCCTTTTATTAACATATCCCAAAGGAGTCTTCAAAACAAGTAAAACCATTTGAACAATAAAATCTAGTAAGTACAAATTATTATAAAATGTCAAAAACAGACAGCTTGCAATACCGCTAACTATTCAAGCGACTTTGGTTGAAACTTCAGGTGCAGCATCGGTTCATAACTATTAAAGCATTATCTTTAATATTCGTTTTAAATTTTAAAGTATTTCTGAAAATCATGTAAATATTCGAGTGGCGGCTCTGACTCTTGTTGACGAGAATATCTACTATGGCATAGTCACGCAACCCTGCTGCGTGATTCAATTAAAATTACAAAGAAACCTAGCCAAACTTGACGGTTTTTTTTCGAATAAAATTGAAAAATAGAGAGAAAGATCAGAGATATTCATCTCTCTGACTACTTCACTTACTAAAAACCCATATCACCTTTGGTTCTGATGTTTAGTTCTGGAAACTTATAAATTTCATCGTTACGAATCAGTTATGGAATTTTAAAGATAGGTCAGGTGGAAGGACAGAATGTTAGATTGTCGTCATCCTCCGATCTTTTTCGCGAAAATTTACTACCTAAGTATTTTTGGGGGGCTCCAAATTCTTATTATTGCATACGTTCTCATGCACCGCATGATAATTCGTACTTAACTGAAATTGAGTTTTATTCGACAAAGAACACGCGGTAAATTGAAAGAATCGCTTACTGTGATGATAATGAGAATAGCATGCAGTTTTAGTTGCAGTCTTTTTCTTTTCCGTTTTTTTTTTTAAGAGAACAACGTGTTTTAGCTATGAGAGACTGCTTTGTCACTCAATATTCAGGTCCTGAACCTTTAAATCGCACACCAACTTTGTCGGTCAAAGGTTAGTTATTACAGGATAACGTCTTGAACACAATTGCTATGTTGCGATCTCCATTCAAGATTTTCTACTCACATTCTTTCTCCTTGACCCATTCTTCCCTAGTTAATCGGATGTCTTCGTATTCCATATTCGCAGCAACGAAGGAAAGCCGAACGACCTCTGCCCGACCTCGGGCATCAAAGTAGTAGAGTTTATAGCCTGACATTGTTTCTTCCAAGTGATAATTCGGAGGGTAAGCGCAGCGCTTATATTTACTGATGAACGTCACGTAACTTCTCACGGGGACGTTTTAATTGGTTCTATTTTGACAAGTATGTCATCATGTACTGATTAATGCTAATTTTGTAAATGAAGTCAGCATTGGTTATGCAGTAACTTCCAGCTTTCAAAGCGATTTTTCTTGGCTGTATTCGAAATATTGAAAGCTTAAAATGGTTTTTCCTTTTTTGATTTTTAAATGCCCAGAAATCGACAACCTACGCCATTAATTCCTGTCTGGTGGAAGGTAAATTTGAGTACAGCAGCTGCCTCGCTACCAAAATTAGCAGCATTTGTGTTTCAGCAAGATTTAACATCAAACAAAGTCATCAAGTGTTGTTGCGTGAGTAAACAGTACACCCTGGGGGTTGCTGTGTTATTTTTAGAAGAGATAAGATTCGGAGGTCATTTTTTTACCGCATGGTCTCGATGGCTCTGGACTTTTGCAAACAGAAGACAGTTTGTTTTTCATTAAGGCTAAAAGTCACAACAGTTGCTGGTCATTCTCCCAAAAAAATCGACATTTGCCAAATACAGGATTATAGTTGCTTTTCGAGTCACCGTGACCAGGCATTAATTCAGTACCGCCAATGAAAGCATTTAATTAGTATTGTTTGACAAGTTTCTGTTAGTTTTGGGTCTATTCTATATTTTTTCTAGAAAGGAATTTTAATCGATCATTTTTGGGACAAACATATTTTTTAATTTGGATCGACTTTTAGCATAGTCAGCATTTCGTAATATCGATATCCTCGTTGGAAACGTTTCAATTGGTTCCTTTCGACAAACTTATGCCAATGGTTATATATTTGGCAAAGTAAAGGGATACCATTTCCAACAGGCAATTCAACTACCAATTGTATCTCTCGAAAAAACATTTCAATGAATCGTTACCGTGACAAATCTCCACTTATTCCGGATTTACATTCAATTAGCCGACTCGTCTCTCCCATGGTGACTTTGGAAATCTTGCCTTAAATCAAATAAAGCTTGGGTTGAAGTAAGTGAGCAGTCATGCCATTGATCTTTCAAGCTCGTTTACCCTTTACACTCTAACATCAGTATGCAAACTCTCCATGCTCTGCTCTATACATTTTTAAGTTGCTGATATGGAGAATTTGTTTAACAATCAAGGGCGTGATCATTTCCTCTATTCGTGTGACCTTTATATGTGATTCAGAGGAGATATTAAAAGGAGAAATAAGAAAACGAAAAAAGCTATTCATGTCCACGTGTGTAAACCTCAAGTGTTTTTGCGTGAATTAACAGTACACCCTGGATGTTGGATTGCTGTGTCACTGCGAGAAGAGACAAGATTCGGAAGTAATATTTTTCTGAATGGCCTCGATTGCTCTGTACTTTTGCAAACAGAAGACTGTTTGTTTTTCATTAAGGCTAAAAGTCACAACAGTTGCAGGTTATTCTCTCAAAGAAACCGACATTTGCTAAATAGAGCATGATAGTTGCTTTTAAGTCAGAATGAACAGGCAATAATTCAGTACCGCCAATGAAAGTATTTGATTAGTATTGTTCGACAAGTTTCTGTTAATTGAGTCTTTTTTGGGTCCTTTTCCTTTAAAGGAATTCAATCGATTGTTTTTTGGACAAATCTCTTTTTAAATTTGAATCGACATTTAGCATAGTCAGCATTTCGCAATATCGATATCCCCTTTGGAAACTTTTCAATATTGGGTCTATTAAATATTTTTTCTTTCATGGAATTTCAATTGAATATTTTTTGGACAAATCTCTTTTAAATTTGGATCGACATTCAGCAGAGTCAGCATTTCGTAATATCGATATCCTCTTTGGAAACGTTTCAATTGGTTCCTTTCGACAAACGTATGCCAATGGTTATATATTTGGCAAAGTAAAGGGATACCAGCTCCAACCAGCATTTCAACGACCAATTGCATCTCTCGAAAAAACATTTCAATGAATCCTTACCATGACAAATCTCCATTTATTCTGGATTTGCATTCAATTAGCCGACTCGTCTCTCCCATGGTGACTTTGGAAATCTTGCCTTAAATCAAATAAAGTTTGGGTTGGGGTTGGATTGATCTTTTAAGCTCATTTAATCCTTTACACTCTAACATCAGTATGCAAACTCTTCATACTATGCTCTATACATTTTTAAGGTGCTGATATGGAGAATTTGTTTAACAATCAAGAGCGTGATCATGTCTTCTATTCTTGTGACCTTTATGTGGGATTAAGTGGAAATTTTGAAAGGAGAAATTAGATGTTAGTCACTCTTAGGGGGTGAAAGGGTTAACCAAGTTATTTACCCGTTCATTTTCAAGATATCATTATCAATTCTCTTTACTGCCTTCCAGACAATTCTTATGACGTTAATTTGGAGAAATTTGTTCAAACTTTCAGTGTTTAACCCCTTGTTTAAATTAGTTTGAGCTTTAGTAACTCAGGTGTTTATAAACCATCTCTTTTACGTGGCTGATTCAGGTCAGATGTTTGGGATCGCCATTCCGTCAATTCGAAAAATAAATGAAATATATACGCCCCTTGGATGACAATAAAACTCAAGGAGTTGATTCGTTCGCGTCAAAATGCATTTCATTCCAACAAGGGTCCAGTTTTCAGATTCTACCGCAATGCTGTCAATAGAGAAAGGAAACTATGCAAAGCAGCCTACTATACTTCAAAAGTGCAAGATCTCAAAGGTATGAATCCCCGTCAGTGGTGGAAAGAGATAAATAAACTGAGCGGATCCAAAAAACAAAACCCCAATTTACTGTCCTCCGTCGATGTACAGCAATTCACCAACATGTCCCCCCAAGAAATCGCCAGTGCAATAAATGAAGCTCTTCTAGAACCGCTCCAGTCTTATCAGCCTATCAACTGTGAGAACACGTCTGTTCTCCTTCCTACAGGAGAAGGCGCCGAATTCCCTAAAATATCAACACATCGAGTGTACATTAATCTGAAACGCCTCAACAAACACAAAGCTCCTGGCCCGGACGGCATACCTAATTGGGTTCTAAAGGAATACGCCGAAATTTTAGCACAGCCCATAACGGACATTTTGAACACTTCCTACAAAGAACAAAAATTGCCGTCAGTTTGGAAATTGGCGAATATAACCCCCCTCCCAAAGGTAAAACAAGTGACTGATCCCAAGAAGGAGCTAAGGCCAATTTCACTTACACCTGCGTTATCAAAACTTGCTGAGGATTTTATAGTTTCTGACTTCATCAAACCGGCCGTGGAAAAAGTAGCGGACCCAAATCAGTTCGGAACGGTATCTGGATCATCCTCTGTACTGGCACTCATAAGCATGATACACAATTGGCTTGAAGCAACAGACGGAAACGGAGCGTCAGTTCGGGTCCTTCTTTTTGATTACCGAAAGGCCTTTGACCTAATAGATCAGTCCATCCTAATATCAAAACTGAATCAACTGGACATTCCGAAGAGCGTTATTAACTGGATAGTTGACTTCCTTTCAAATAGGTCTCAAAGAGTTAAACTTGGCAATGACTGTTTCTCTGAGTGGAGCAAAGTGCCTGCCGGAGTACCACAGGGTACCAAACTGGGCCCCTGGCTTTTCCTTTTAATGATAAACGATTTGTCAGTTTCGCTCGACATTTTTAATCTGTGGAAATACGTTGACGATACGACGGTATCAGAAACCGTCCCGAAAGGAAAGATTAGTCACGCGCAAAGTGCAGTTGACCAAGTACAGTCCTGATCTGAGGAAAATCTATTTGAATTGAATTGCGCAAAAACCAAAGAACTGTTGATCAGCTTTAGCCCTCAATACCCCCAATTTCCAAAAACCAACGTGGACGGGGAACTAATTGAATCTGTGCAGTGTGTTAAACTTCTTGGACTCAATATTAATTCAACTCTAACTTGGAACAACCATATTACAGAAATAATAAAGAAATCCAACTCAAAACATTATTTTTTGATTCAACTTAAGCGGGCTAAAGTACCTACAATCGATCTTGTAGCAATCTATTGCGCAACCATCAGGTCCTGCCTAGACTACGCCTGCCCAGCGTTCCACCATGTACTTCCGAAATATCTACAAGTCGATCTGGAGAGAGTGCAGAAAAGAACCCTCGCATGCATCTTCCCTGGAGCATCATACCAAGAAGCCCTCGATCAAGCAAACATCCCAAGCTTGAGAACCCACCAAGAACAGTTGACATCGACACTTTTCCGATCAGTTTTAGAAAACAAAAACAACAAAATTAATTCTTTAATCCCAAAAAGTTATCAGGCTAATTACAATTTTAGGAAACAGAGGAATTTTAATCTTAATCGTTGTAAGACCGACAGAGCGGCAACAAGTTTCATAAATATGTGTTGCAGAAACAGTTTGTACAATTAATTAATGTGAAGTTGAAACAGTTTGTACAATTAAGAACAGGTTTAATTAATGTGAAGCAGAAACAGTTTGTACAATTAATTAATTTGAAGTTACGCAATTCAGTTTTATCTGCAATGTAATTTTAATAAAACACAGTCTACACAGTCTACACGTCTACAGTCTACACCTTTTATTTTCTCCTCAAAAGGTGTTCCTCTGATGAGAAAACTAAAATGTATATAATTCCTATATATTTTCAAATTGCAACGTTTTTTAAAACGGGTGAATATATAAATATCATATATACTATATTAAAAAGCTTTTTCGAATAAAAAGGTCTCATTAGATCACTTAAACCTATTCAAGGATTCAATATTTCTGATGGCACATGTAAGATCACTCCATATTTTAGGAGCGACTGCGTGAAAGGAAAGATCGGTGAGCGTAGCGCGCGTGATTTACCCCTGCAAAGAACACAAAAAGGGAAACAAACAAACAAACAAAAAACGAACGTAACAAAAATAGAGGAGTACATTAGTGCTTAAATAAATCTTATGATTAGTTGAATGAATGAATCAACCACCAAAAGAAGGGCTGAGTCGATGAATGAATAAGTGACAGACAAACCGACTGACTTAAAAAGTGTGACGTCTACCTTGTCACCAACAAAGAATCCTTTCCCATCATTATATTGGCCTTAAGAAGTTTTTCAAAGCAAATGAGAATTCCAGGGGTAACAGCTTTCGCCTCCTCTTGCAATTTAACCTGAATCAAGGAATGAACGGGGAATAAAGTGAGTGGCATACATGACGTTCCTGTGGTTATTCTATATTATATCAGCATAAAGACTCATTTTTCAACTGAGTTGCAACTCTAGTATTTAGAAAGAAAAAGACTAACAAACGTTCTTAAAACGCAAAAGACAGCCTGAACTCGACACTGGCTACATTGCGACATTGCGGTAGCGTTTTCGACTGCATGACTGAGCATATACACCACAGAATTGGTTTTGCTTTACTTCGCTCTACGATCAGTCCAGAAAACTTTCGCTACCTTGTCAGCCCATCAGGTTTTGCTTACCTTCGCGCTACGATTGGTCCAGAAAACTTTCGCTACCTTGTCAACCAATCAGACGCAAATTGGAGGCAAATCGCGTCGTGCTTTTTGCGTTTTCCCGCCTTTTGGGTCCCTGGCGTGTTTTAACTCTGAGCTCTCATTGGCTTTTGATGATCTTTCTTCGCTGTGATTGGTCGTGGAGGTTACCTTGGTTTTGGTGGTATGAAATTGTCGTAAGACCGCGCTGAAATTCCTTATAACAATCTTATGTACACTGAGCAGCGACGAACTGAAATATTAACTGGAAAAGATGGATACCTTTACAAATATTATAAGGGACTGTTTACCTTTCTTTTGGGTCTTTTTCAAAGAAAGCTGAAGCGTATTTTTCAGTTAAATCAGCAACACCGCCCACAATCATGTCTGCCTTACCCTAAGTCCAAATCGGTGGAGGGGGTTAGACCTAGGAGAATTAGTGAAAGCAAAACTTAACTCAAAACAAAAGAGCCAGTAAGTATGATGATGAACACATGAAAGAGTAGTGGAAGAGAAAGTAAGATGGAAGAAAGGAAAGAACTAAGGAAGTGAGGGACAGATGGAGTAGGGATGGAAGGAATGGAAGGAGGGAGGGAGGAAGGGAGGGAGGAGGGAGGAAGGGATGGAGGAAGGGAGGGAGGGAGGAAGGAAGGGAGGGAGCTAGGGAAGGAGGGAGAGGGGAGGGAGGAAGGGAGAGGGGGAGGAAGGAGGGGAGGGAGCAAGGGAAGGAGGGAGGGAGGGAGAGAGGGAGAGAGGATAAGAGGATGGAAGGGAAAGAGTGGAAAGATAGGAAGGAAGGGAAAACGAGAGGGTTGGAAAAGAGGGTGCATCAAAAGGAGGAAAAAAGGGAGAGGTTAGTAGAGGTAGGGGAAGGAGAGGATTGGGAGATGTGGGGTAAGGGAGGTTGGATGAGAGGGGGGGAGAGTATTTAAGGAAGGGAGAATGAAATGCAGTGACAGGGGATGTGTGAAATTATTCATAAACTGTTCGGGGTAGGATGAGAAAGGAGGGGGGGGGGGAAGGAGGTTGCCTGTAATGAGCTACGGTTCTGTCAATTCCTGTTTGAAAGGCAGGCAGCAAAACGGCAGCGGTGCAACTCTACTAGAACTCTCAGCACCAACACTTACGGAGCAGGCATGGGCAATTTTTCCTCTCCATCTGTAGCTTGACTACAAAATTGTTTAGGAGGAGGTTAGATTGACAGTTTAATGAGAACTGCAAGGAGCTCAGTCAACAAATTTTAAATCTCTTCAGCGTGCCAGGTGCTTAGGTCACTTCTCTTGCTTGTAGGTACCAACAATACAAATAACAATGGCATCCATGGCAATCTACATACTACATGTTTGTCAGTTCACCCTCTTCCCAAACATACAGCAGGAGAAGGATACAAAATTGATGAATTAAGAGAAATAGTTTCTATTTTAATGAAAATATTACCAAGTCATGCGGTCTTCTTCTTTTACCTCTTATAACTGGAGGCCCCCTCCTCCCCACACCCTTTTCTCCCAGAGATCAAACGCCAGTTAAAGCTTAAATTAAACAGTTCTCACACAGAAAATAACTTTTCAGTTTAGTTTATTTTTCTTTCCATCACTTCACAGCTGGTAACCAACAACTGGTCTGAATCACAAAACATTTAATGCTCTGTTTTTGGGCGTGTCTCGACCCATTTCTTTATTCCTGGCACATCCAGTACACGTTTGTGATGCGCAGCCAATAACGGGAACTTTTCGAGTGCTTTCGGGGCAGTGGGTTCGCCTTTTTCCAAAAGGTTCATCAGGTCAAAGAAAATGATGTCAGCATATGTAAGCTGTGAATAGATATCATAAAATAAATCTTTATTAGCCTGGGATGTAATTTTTGAGAAGAAAAAGAGAGGAAGAAGAGGAAGAAAAAAAAGTATAATGATAAAAATAATGATGCTAATAATTATTATGGTGATGGTGATGATAATGATGATGATAATAATAGGACTTTTGAGTAAATTATACATTTAGCAAATGTACTTATCTATTTGCCATAATCGATGTAATGATGCATTTTTAAATAGTACAATGGCAAGAGGCTTTAACATTGTTTATTCCACAAACAACAATATGAATAAAATCAAGTAAACATAAATAGAAGATAGGATTAAAAAATTGGGACGAAGGGTCATACATGCCTTAAATGCATGGTCTTGTATAGGAAAGAAATCTTGTGTATGTTAACATAAAGATCAAATTTGTTTTCATCCACAAACTGTTACCTTGTCACCAACAAAGAATCCCTTGCCTTCGTTGTTGGCTTTTAAAATATTTTCATATCTTGGCAGTCGGTTAGCGAGAGTTTCTTCAAAGAATTCTTTCATTAGCTCCGTCTACAAAATAATTTTGAGCAAACAAGGATAAAAAAAACTCCAAGTGAAGGAATTGGCCTAAATTAAATTAGTGACACTGAATTGGTGGTCAAGGGAAATGGAGAGAGAGTTGGCTGAGTAGGCAAATGGGGATAAGTTAAAACAAAAGCACTAGTATAATACAACAAGGGAGAGAGAAAGTATGGGAGAAAAATTAAAGAGAGGGAGGAAAAGGTTGCATAGGAGAGAAAGGTATAATAAATGAGGCAATGACAGAGGTAGTGGAGAGCAAGGGAAGGGAGAGAAAAAGGTAGGAGGGAGAGGGAGTGAGGTGTAAGAAGGAAAAGGAGAGGAGGAAAGGAGGGTGTGAGGGACTAAGAAGGAGAAAAGGTGGAAGGAAGGGATACATTGGAAGCTGATAACACCATCTAAAGAAGCATGGGAGAGGTAGGGTGATCAAGAAGTTAGTTGACCAGACTAAAAGAGGAAAGGAAAGGGCTGATAACAAGACAATGGGGGCAAGCTGTGAGGGGAGCAAAAACAGGTGGGACAGATCTGAAGGTAGTGGCAAACAGAAGAGATCTGAAGGTAAGATGTGAACAAGGTATTAAGATCTGTAATGAAAAGTGATAAAGATTATAAAGAAGAGGAACCAAAAAAAATTGTATTTATTTGATACCTTTTTAGCTTCTTCCTTTTCCATATGAGCCTTTATCAAAGCCTGGAAAAAATCTTCAACACCACCCACAATCATATCAGCAATTGCCTCATCAAAACTGTCTGTTGGACTCAAACCTTTATGTAATAAAGCAACAGAGGTTATGTCCATGGGCATAAATGATATGTTTTGGCCATGACTCAAGGTCATTTTAGCCTGACCTGCTTGGCATGAGTTAAAATGACTCTTAAAAAGAGCTCAACACATATTTATGCCCAATTAATACTACCATTATTACTTTTGAGGACATTGAGAAAAAAACAACTGGAAAAAAAATGACAAAAATACACCAGTCTGACCAATCACCTGAGTATGTAAGCATTTTTGCCAGCCAAAATCTCCTTGCTTGCCTGAATAGATTTATTCCCAATAATTTATTTATTCCATCAAAACAGAACATATACAATATCTCTAATATTACTTACAAAAATAAGAATGGTATGATTAAAAAAAAGGCATCACAAAAGAAGCAACACACCACACCTAACACTAAAGTAAAAAGATTATAACAGAATTACATTTTATCACAGGCAACCCCCTACCCCTCTCTCCCACCCCCTAGAAATTCATCAATTTTCCTTGTATGTTTGTTGATACTTAGTGAGGCACCTTGCACAATGGTGTTGGCTTAATCATGCCCCTGCCAGGAATTGCACCCATCAGGTAATTTTTAATCCTGGATCATGTGTACCAAATAAAACACCACCATGTCACCCACAAAGCTAGGAGAAAATTTTGAATACTTATAGAAACTTTTTCAGCAGTTTCTTTTATTAGGTAATGTTTGAGAATCAAGCATTCTGCTTCCACAATCACAGATAAATTGCTTAGAAGTCAGTCATGGGGCGCCTCTCCACCCAAGCTTTTATTCCTGAATTTTCAGCACTTTCTCATACAGCACCACCAGCCTTGGATATTTCCTGAGACAAACCATAATGTTCCAAGGTTCTTCATGAAGCCATTGAAGAGGTTGAAGAAGGTACTGTTGGTTTTGGTTACAAGGTGAGATTAAGTTATTGAATTGTTCACTAGTAAAGCACAGAGAAATTGAAATTTTTCCTGTGGTATAGTGATGGTAATTGATAGTAACATTACTGTAGCTGCTTCATAAAGAAAAAATATTCATTTCAATAGTGATTACTCACCTCCTATTCTGCAAACATACTTCATGATTGCTTGAGACTGTCCAAGCACTTTTCCATCTGGGGTCACGAGAAATGGTGCCTGACCAAGAGGGGGTCTGCCAGCTGACAAAAAGAAATAGAAAAATAAATAGAAAGATAGATGATAAATTAATACATAAGTTAATTAACAGATAAATGGATTATAGACAGTTACTTAGAGAGAGATATATTAAGGTAGATAAATAGATAATTACACATGGATTTGAATAAATTTATTGTTAAATAGAAACAAAAAGAAATTACTAGAAAAGGGATGTCTTATCAAAGGAATGAGCGCATAAGCAATGAATTAACCATTAGTAAACATGTTGATCACATTATGTTTGCTTACATGTAGACAAAAATATAATGGACACATGAGTAAATATGACGTGCATTTAATTCCTCTTATTAACATATCCCAAAGGAGTCTTCGATACAAGTAAAAGCATTTGCCTGATAACCAGATAAAATCTAGTAGGTATAAACTATTATAAAATGTCAAAAACTGACATCTCGCAATACCGCCAACTTTTCACGCGCTTTTGGTTGGAACTTAAGGTGCAGTATCAGTTCATAACTACTAAAGCATTATCTTTAATATTCGTTTTCAATCATGTTAATTTATTTTTGGATGAAATCATGTAAATATTCGAGTGACGATTCTGACTCTTGTTGACGAAAATATCTACTATAGCATAGTCACGCAATCCTGCTGTATGATTTAAAATTATTCAGAAACCTAGCCAAACTTGAGGGTTTTCTCTTTCTTGGAATGAAATTGAAAAATAGAGAGAAAGATCACAGAAGCCAATCTTTCTGACTGCTTCGCTTCCTGAAAAACCCAAATCATCTCTATAGCCTTTGGTTCTGACGTTCAGTTCTGGAAACTAGTAACCTGCATCGTCATCGTTACGAATTAATTAGGGAATTAAGATAGGTCAGGTGGATAAACAGAATGTTAGATTGTAGTCATCCTCCCGACCTTTTTCGCGAAAATTTACTACCTAAGTATTTTTTTGGGGGGGCTCCAATTTCTTATCATTGCATACGTTCCCATGCACTGCATGATAATTCGTACTTAACTGAAATTGAGTTTTATTCGACAAAGAACACACGGTAAATTGAGAGAATCGATTTTTGTGAGTTTTAGTCGCATTCTTTTTCTTTTCCTTTTTTTTTTAAGAGAACAATGTGTTTTAGCAATGAGAGACGATTTTTCATTCAATATGCAAGTCCTGAACCTTTATATGCAAACCAACTTTCTCGGTTAAAGGTTAGTTATTTCAGAATAACGTTTTGAACACAAGCGCTATGTTGTGATCTGTATTCAAGATTTTCTACTCACATTCTTTCTCCTTGACCCATTCTTCTCTGGTAAATCGGATGTCTTCGTATTCCATATTCGCAGCAACGAAGGAAAGCCGAACGATCTCAGCCCGACCTCGGACATCAAAGTAGTAAAGTTTGTAGCCTGACATTGTTTCTTGTAGATGATTCTTCGGAGCGCTAGCGCAGCGTTTATATGTTGTCGATGGACGTCACGCAACTTCTCACGGTGACGTTTTAATTAGTTTTATTTTGACATGTCATCATGTACTCATTGATGCTAAATTGATTTCCCGAATTATTTGCGTAAATGAAGTCAGCATTAGTTATGCAGTAGCTTCGTAGCTTTCAAGGCGATTTTTCTCGGCTGCTTTCGAAATATTGTAAGCTTAACATGGTCTTTTTCCTTTATTATGTTTTTCAGATGCCCAGAAATCGACAACCTACGCCATTAATTTCTATCCGGTGGAAGGTAAATTTGAGTACAGCAGCTGCCTTGCTACCAAAATTAGCAGCATTTGTGTTTTGGCAAGATGTAATATACGGTTAAATTAGTGTGGGGAGCACGAAGCAAATTAAACGAAACAATCGCTATTTTTGTCCACGCGTGTAAACCTCAAGTGTTGTTGTGTAAGTTAATAGTACACCCTGGATGTTGGATTGCTGTGTCACTGTGAGAAGAGACGAGATTCGAAAGTCATTTTTTACTGAATGGCCTCTATGGCTCTGGACTTTTGCAAACAGAAGACAGCTTGTTTTTCATTAAGGCTAAAAGTCTCAACAATTGCAGGTTATTCTCCCAAAGAAACCAACATTTGCCAAAATATAGCATGATAGTTGCCTTTAAGACATCATGAACAGGTATTAAATCAGTACCGCCAATGAAAGCATTTGATCAGTATTGTTCGACAAATTTCTGTTAACTCTGGGTCTAATGTATATTTTTCCTTAAAAGGAATTTCAATCGATTATTTTTTGGACAAATCTCTTGAAATCTAGATCGACATTTAGCAGAGTCAGCATTTCGTAATATCGATATCGATATCCTCGTTGGAAACTTTTCAATATTGGGTCTATGGAATATTTCTCCTTTAAAGGATTCCAATCGAATATTTTTTGGACAAATCTATTTTTAAATTTGGATCGACATTTAGCAGGGTCAGCATTTCTTAATATCGATATCCTCGTTGGAAACTTTTCAATATTGGGTCTATTGAATATTTCTCCTTTAAAGGATTCCAATCGAATATTTTTTGGACAAATCTATTTTTAAATTTGGATCGACATTTAGCAGGGTCAGCATTTCGTAATATCGATATCCTCGTTGGAAACTTTTCAATTGGTTCCTTGCGAGAAACTTATGCCAATGGTTATATATTTGGCAAAGTGAAGGGATACCAGCTCCAACAGGAAATTCAACCATCAATTGTATCTCTCGAAAAAACATTTCAATGAATCCTTACCGTGACGAATCTCCATTTATTCTGGATTTGCATTCAATTAGCCGACTCGTCTCTCACATGGTGACTTTGGAAATCTTGCCTTAAATCAAATAAAATTTGGGTTGAGGTAAGAGAGCAGTCATGCCGTTGATCCTTCAAGCTTATTTAACCTTTTACACTCTAACATCAGTATGCAAACTCTTCATACTATGCTCTATACATTTTTAAGGTGCTGATATGGAGAATTTGTTAACAATAAAGAGCGTGATCATTTCCTCCATTCTTGTGACCTTTATGAGTGATTAGGAGGAGATATTAAAAGGAGAAATTAGATGTTAGTCACTCTTAGGGGTGAAAGGGTTAACCAAGTTATTTACCCGTTCATTCCCAAGATCTCATTATCAATTCTCTTTACTGTCTCCCAGACAATTCTTATGACGTTAATGTGGAGAATTTGTTATTGGATCAACTAATAATACCCTCATTGACATTTTTCTTTATTCTCATCACCTGTCTGCTTGATATTGTATTGATATTGTAAGGAGAAGTTCTGTCTTGGTCACCCATACGAGTTAAAGGGTGAAGCAAAGATCCTCGTTGATGAGCTAAAATGAAGCCTGAAAAAAAACTGCAGACTTCGATGGGATTCGAACCCATGCCTCCCGGATACTAATCGATTGCCAGGTAACTACCAACTGACCAACAGAGCTACGGAACCGCACGCTAGGAAGAGTACATCTTTGAAAGGGTTCTTCTTTCCGCGGATGAACCTGATCATAACGTTTTGCTGTGTTTACAACCCCAAATCTTTCCGCCATTCAACATTCGCAGCATGCAAATAGTGAGTTGCATAAGTTTTGTATGCATGCGTGCAGAACAAGCCTTCGACATTTGCTTGCACCTGCACCGTCGTAACTTGCACCGCTCGCCCAAAGAAAAAAAAACCATTATACCACAGTATAAACTTCCCTACTTTAACATGCGTGGGAGGGCAGCGCCGACACGACTGATATTCAAAGCGGCTGGGGTGGAGCGGGGTGTCATTTCAAGACTGAGGAGAATTGAAAACGTGCGAGTTTGACAGAACGATTCACGATTAATCGTTATTTGTTTGCATCGCAAAATTTGCTTCAAGTTGAAGGATTATCCGTTCCTGTAAATCAGGGCGTCATTTGAAATTCGGCCTGGTTTTCTTTTTTAAAAGATTATTTATCCTGAACCTACCCGGCGTTACTTTCGTTCTTTTTGAAACCAATGGTGCTAACGCACAGTGTCTCACCGTTAATTCAGTATTTCACTTGCAACTTGTAAAGTCATTTCGCAAAGCGTTTAACTTTCGTTCTTAACCCAAACTGCGCAGGTATCTGTTCACGAAAATCGCTAATATCACCTTTTATTGAGCATTAGGAAATATCGAATTTTGCATGGCCCTTTTAGAAAGGGGTTATATGTTATACGTTTACCAGGAATAAAGAAATCGCTGGCACAATCCATTAATTGAGTCCGGATCCAGACAAGAAAGACGTTTCTAGTTTCATTTATTGGCACAAACAAACTTTTCAGTGTTTAAGCACTTGTTTAAATTCGTTTGAGCTTTAGTAACTCAGATGGTTATAAACCATCCCTTTCACATGGCTGATACAGGTCGTGTTTTGAGATGCTCGTTGATGTTTGGGATCGCCATAACACGCTCATAATGAGACATCAAAAGAGGAAAATCTTTGATCAATGCTGGAACCTCCATCTTTCCTTGTGCAAAGAGGCCATTTACCATGTTAAAGAGGATGATGTCTGCATAGGTTAGCTATACATATACAAAAAAAAAAAAAAAAAAAGAAAGCACAAAAAATTTTTATTGACTTATATTGTGCAAGCATCAATGTTAAATTTCTAATTGTGCAATGAAATGAATAAACCTCTAAATCTAACTATTAAAACTGAAAAATAATTAAAAAATGGACTAAAATTGACTAGCTAGGAAATATAGAAACATTATATATATATATACATATATATATATACACACACACACACACATATATATATCCGTCAACTCGAAAAATAAATAAAATATATATACCTTTTATTTCCCCCTCAAAAAGTGTCCCTCTGATGAGAAAACTAAAGATGTATATAATTCCTATATATTTTCAAATTGCAACGTTTTTTAAAACGGGTGAATATATACATATTATATATATTATATTACAAAGGTTTTTCGAATAAAAAGGTCTGATTAGATCACTTAAACCTATTCAAGGGTTCAATATTTCCGATGGAACACGTAAGATCACTCCATATTTTAGGAGCGGCTGCGTGAAAGGAAAGATCGGCGAGGGTAGCGCGTGATCTAACCCTGAAAAGAACACAAAAAGGGAAACAAACTAACAAACAAAAAACGAACGTAACAAAAATAGTGGAATACATTAGTGCCTAAACAAATCTTATGACTATAATTGAATGAATGAATTAACCACCGAAAGAAGGGCTGAGTCGATGAATGAATAAGTGACAGACAGACCGACTGACTTAAAAAGTGCGACGTCGTACCTTGTCACCAACAAAGAATCCTTTCCTATCATTATATTGGCCTTAAGAAGTTTCTCAAAGCGAGCGAGAATTCCAGGGGTAGCAGCTTTCACTTCCTCTTGCAACTTAGCCTGAATCAAGGAATGAACGGGGAATAAAGTGAGTGGCATACATGACGTTCCTGTGGTTATTCTATATTATATCAGCATAAAGACTCATTTTTTCAACTGAGTTGCAACTCTAGTATCTAGAAAGAAAAAGACTAACAAACGTTCTTAAAACGCAAAAGACAGCCTGAACTCGACACTGGCTACATTGCGACATTGCGGTAGCGTTTTCGACTGCATGACTGAGCATGAGTTTTGGAACGACACTCAATTAAGCGTTGAAAGTAATACACCATTGAATTGGTTTTGCTTTACTTCGCTCTACGATTAGTCCAGAAAACTTTCGCTACCCTGTCAACCCATCAGGTTTTTCCTAGCTTCGCACTACGATTGGTCCAGAAAATTTTTGCTACCTTGTAAAACCAATCCGACGCAAATTGGAGGCAAATCGCGTCGTGCTTTTTGCGTTTTCCCGCCTTCTGGGTCCTGGCGTGTTTCAACTCTGAGTTCTCATTGGCTTTTGATGACCTTTCTTCGCTGTGATTGGTCGTGGAGGTTACCTTGGTTTTGGTGGTATGAAATTGTCGTAAGACCGCGCTGAAATTCCTTATAACAATCTTATGTACACTGGGCAGCGACGAACTGAAATATTAACTGGAAAAGATGGATACCTTTACAAATATTATAAGGGACTGTTTACCTTTCTTTTGGGTCTTTTTCAAAGAAAGCTGAAGCGTATTTTTCAGTTGAATCAGCAACACCATCCACAATCATGTCTGCCTTACCCTAAGTCCAAATCGGTGGAGGGGGTTAGACCTAGGAGAATTAGTGAAAGCAAAACTTAACTCAAAACAAAAGAGCCAGTAAGTATGATGATGAACAAATGAAAGAATAGTGGAAGAGAAAGTAAGATGGAAGAAAGGAAAGAACTAAGGAAGTGAGGGACAGATGGAGTAGGGATGGAAGGAATGGAAGGAGGGAGGGAGGAAGGGAGGGAGGAGGGAGGAGGGGATGGAGGAAGGAAGGGAGGGAGGAAGGAAGAAAGAGAGGGAGCTAGGGAAGGAGGGAGAGAGGAGGGAGGAAAGGAGGGAAGGAGGAAGGAGGGGAGGGAGCAAGGGAAGGAGGGAGGGAGGGAGAGAGGGAGAGAGGATAAGAGGATGGAGAAGAAAGAGTGGAAAGATAGGAAGGAAGGGAAAACGAGAGGGTTGGAAAAGAGGGTGAATCAAAAGGAGGAAAAAAGGGAGAGATTAGTAGAGGTAGGGGAAGGAGAGGATTGGGAGATGTGGGGTAAGGGAGGTTGGATGAGAGAGAGGGAGAGGATTAATGGAAGGGAGAATGAAATGCAGTGACAGGAGGATGTGTGAAATGATTCATAAACTGTTCGGGGTAGGATGAGAAAGGAGGGGGGGTAGGAGGTTGCCTGTAATGAGCTACGGTTCTGTCAATTCCTGTTTGAAAGGCAGGCAGCAAAACGGCAGCGGTGCAACTCTACTAGAACTCTCAGCACCAACACTTTCGGAGCAGGCATGGGCAATTTTTCCACTCCATCTGTAGCTTGACTACAAAATTGTTTAGGGGGAGGTTAGATTGACAGTTTAATGAGAACTGCAAGGAGCTCAGTCAACAAATTTTAAATCTCTTCAGCGTGCCAGGTGCTTAGGTCACTTCTCTTGCTTGTAGGTACCAACAATACAAATAACAATGGCATCCATGGCAATCTACATACTACATGTTTGTCAGTTCACCCTCTTCCCAAACATACAGCAGGAGAAGGATACAAAACTGATGAATTAAGAGAGATAGTTTCTATTTTAATGAAAATATTACCAAGTCATCCGGTCTTCTTCTTTTACCTCTTATAACTGGAGGCCCCCTCCTCCCCACACCCTTTTCCCCCAGAGATCAAACGCCAGTTAAAGCTTAAATTAAACAGTTCTCACACAGAAAATAACTTTTCAGTTTAGTTTATTTTTCTTTCCATCACCTCACAGCTGGTAACCAACAACTGGTCGGAATCACAAAACATTTAATGCTCTGTTTTTGGGCGTGTCTCGACCCATTTCTTTATTTCTGGCACATCCAGTACACGTTTGTGATGCGCAGCCAATAACGGGAACTTTTCGAGTGCTTTCGGGGCAGTGGGTTCGCCTTTTTCCAAAAAGTTCATCAGGTCAAAGAAAATGATGTCAGCATATGTAAGCTGTGAATAGATATCATAAAATAAATCTTTATTAGCCTGGGATGTAATTTTTGAGAAGAAAAAGAGAGGAAGAAGAGGAAGAAATAAAAGTATAATGATAAAAATAATGATGCTAATAATTATTATGGTGATGATGATGATAATGATGATGATAATAATAGGACTTTTGAGTAAATTATACATTTAGCAAATGGACTTATCTATTTGCCATAATCGACGTAATGATGCATTTTTAAATAGTACAATGGCAAGAGGCTTTAACACCGTTTATTCCACAAACAACAATGTGAATAAAATCAAGTAAACCTAAAAAGAAGATAGGATTAAAAAATTGGGACGAAGGGTCATGCATGCCTTAAATGCATGGTCTTGCATGTATAGGAAAGAAATCTTGTGTATGTTAACATAAACTTTAAGATCAAATTTGTTTTCATTCACAAACTGTTACCTTGTCACCAACAAAGAATCCCTTGCCTTCGTTGTTGGCTTTTAAAATATTTTCATATTTTGGCAGTCGGTTAGCGAGAGTTTCTTCCAAGAACTCTTTCATTAGCTCCGTCTACAAAATAATTTTGACCAAACAAGGATAAAAAAAATCCAAGTGAAGGAATTGGCCTAAATTAAGTTAGTGACACTGAATTGGTGGTCAAGGGAAATGGAGAGAGAGTTGGCTGAGTAGGCAAATGGGGATAAGTTAAAACAAAAGCACTTCTAGTATAAAATACAAATAGGGAGAGAGAATTAGTATGGGAGAAAAATTAAAGAGAGGGAGGTGGGGAAAGGAGAGGGGGAGAAAAGAACTAGTGAAAGAGAGTTAATTAATGAGGAAAAGGTTGCATAGGAGAGAAAGGTATAATAAATGAGGCAATAACAGAGGTGGCGGAGAGCAAGGGAAGGGAGAGAGAAAGGTAGGAGGGAGAGGGAGTGAGGCGTACGAAGGAAAAGGAGAAGAGGAGAGGAGGGTGTGAGGGACTGAGATGGAGAAAAGGTGGAAGGAAGGGATACATTGGAGTCTGATAACACCATCTAAAGAAGCATGGGAGAGGTAGGGTGATCAAGAAGTTAGTTGACTAGACTAAAAAGGGAAAGGAAAGAGCTGAAAACAAGACAATGGGGGCAAGCTGTGAGGGAAGCAAAAACAGGTGGGACAGATCTGAAGGTAGTGGCAAACAGAAGAGATCTGAAGGTAAGAAGTGAACAAGGTATTGAGATCTGTAATGAAAAGTGATAAAGATTATAAAGAAGAGGAAACAAAAAAACAAAATTGTGTTTATTTGGTACCTTTTTAGCTTCCTCCTTTTCTATAAAAACCTTTATCAAAGCCTGGAAAAAATCTTCAACACCACCCACAATCATATCAGCAATTGCCTCATCAAAACTGTCTGTTGGGCTCAAACCTATATGTAATAAAGCAACAGAGGTTATGTCCATGGGCATAAATGATATGTTTTGGCCATGACTCAGGGTCATTTTAGCCTGACCTGCTTGGCATGAGTGAAAATGACTCTTAAAAAGAGTTAAACACATATTTATGCCCAATTAATACTACCATTATTACTTTTGAGGACATTGAGAAAAAAACAACTGGAAAAAATGACAAAAATACACCAGTCTGACCAATCACCTGAGTAATTGTAAGCATTTTTGCCAGTCAAAATCTCCTTGCTAGACTGAATAGATTTATTCCCAATAGTTTATTTATTCCATCAAAACAGATCATATACAATATCTCTAATATTACTTACAAAAATAAGAATGGTATGATTAAAAAAAAAGACATCACAAAGGAAGCAACACACTACACCTAACACTAAAGTAGAAAGATTATTACAGAACTACATTTTATGACAGGCAACCCCCTACCCCTCTCTCCCACCACCTGGAAATCTATCAATTTTCCTTGTATGTTTGTTGATACTTAGTGAGGCACCTTGCACAGTGGTGTTAGTTTAATCATGCTCCTGCCAGGAATTGCACCCATCAGGTAATTTTCAATCCCTGATCATGTGTACCAAATAAAACACCACCATGTCACCCACAAGGCTAGGAGAAAATTTTGAATAATCATAGAAACTTTTTGAGAAGTTTCTTTTATTAGGTAATGTTTGAGAATCAAGCATTCCGCTACCACAATCACAGATAAATTGCTTAGAAGTCAGTCATAGGGTGCCTCTCTGCCCAAGCTTTTATTCCTGAATCTCCAGCACTTTCTCATACAGCACCACCAGCCTTGGATATTTCCTGAGACAAACCATTGTTCCAAGGTTCTCCATCATTCATGAAGCCAATGAAGAGGTTGAAGGAGGTACCGTTGTTTTTGGTTACAAGGTGAGATTAAGTTAATAAATTGTTCACTAGTCAAGCGCACAAAAATTGAAATTTTTCCTGTGGCATACTGATAGTAATAGATAGTAACATTACTGTTGCTGTTTCATAAAGAAAAAAATATTCATTTCATTAGTGATTACTCACCTCCTATTCTGCAAACATACTTCATGATTGCTTGAGACTGTCCAAGCACTTTTCCATCTGGGGTCACAAGAAATGGTACCTGACCAAGAGGGGGTCTGCCAGCTGACATAAAGAAATAGAAAAATAAATAGAAAGATAGATGATAAATCAATACATAAGTTAATTAACAGATAAATGGATTATAGACAGTTACTCAGAGAGAGATATATTACGGTAGATAAATAGATAAATACACATGGATTTGAATAAATTTATTGTTAAATAGAGACAAGAAGAAATAACCAGTAAAGGGATGTCTTATCAGAGGAATGAACGTATAAGCAATGAATTAACCATAAGTAAACATGTTGATCACATTATGTTTGCTTACATGTAGACAAAAATATAATAGACACATGAATAAATATGACGTGCATTTAATTCCTCTTATTAACATATCCCAAAGGAGTCTTCGATACAAGTAAAAGCATTTGCCTGATAACCAGATAAAATCTAGTAGGTATAAATTATTATAAAATGTCAAAAACAGACAGCTTGCAATACCGCCAACTTTTCACGCGCTTTTGGTTGGAACTTTAGGTGCAGCGTCAGTTCATAACTATTAAAGCATTATCTTTAATATTCGTTTTCAATCATGTTAATTTCTTTTTGGATGAAATCATGTAAATATTCGAGTGGCGGCTCTGACTCTTGTTGACGAAAATATCTACTATGGCATAGTCACGCAATCCTGCTGTATGATTTAAAATTATTCACAAACCTAGCCAAACTTGAGGGTTTTCTCTTTCTTGGAATGAAATTGAAAAATAGAGAGAAAGATCACAGAAGCCAATCTTTCTGACTGCTTCACTTCCTGAAAAACCCAAATCATCTCTACAGCCTTTGGTTCTGACGTTCAGTTCTGGAAACTAATAACTTGCATCGTCATTGTTACGAATTAATTAGAGAATTAAGATAGGTCAGGTGGATGGACAGAATGTTAGATTGTAGTCATCTTCCCGACCTTTTTCGCGAAAATCTACTACCTAAGTATTTTTTTGGGGGGCTCCAATTTCTTATCATTGCATACGTTCCCATGCACTGCATGATAATTCGAACTTAACTGAAATTGAGTTTTATTCGACAAAGAACACATGGTAAATCGAAAGAATCGATTTTTGTGATGATAATGAGGATAGCATGCAGTTTTAGTCGCAATCTTTTCTTTTCCTTTTTTTTTTAAGAAACAATGTGTTTTAGCAATGAGAGACGATTTTTCATTCAATATGCAAGTCCTGAACCTTTATATGCAAACCAACTTTCTCGGTTAAAGGTTAGTTATTTCAGGATAACGTTTTGAACTCAAGCGTTATGTTGTGATCTGCATTCAAGATTTTCTACTCACATTCTTTCTCCTTGACCCATTCTTCTCTGGTAAATCGGATGTCTTCGTATTCCATATTCGCAGCAACGAAGGACAGTCGAATGATCTCAGCCCGACCTCGGGCATCCAAGTAGTAAAGTTTGTAGCCTGACATTGTTTCTTGTAGATGATTCTTCGGAGCGCTAGCGCAGCGTTTATATGTTGCAGATGGACGTCACGCAACTTCTCACGGTGACGTTTTAATTAGATTTATTTTGACAAGTATGTCATCATGTACTTATTGATGCTAAATTGATTTCCCGAATTATTTTCTTTAATGAAGTCAGCATTAGTTATGCAGTAGCTTCGTAGCTTTCAAGGCGATTTTTCTCGGCTGCTTTCGAAATATTGTAAGCTTAACATAGTCTTTTTCCTTTATTATGTTTTTCAGATGCCCAGAAATCGACAACCTATGCCATTAATTTCTATCCGGTGGAAGGTAAATTTGAGTACAGCAGCTGCCTCGCTACCAAAATTAGCAGCATTTGTGTTTTGGCAAGATGTAATATACGGTTAAATTAGTGTGGGGAGCACGAAGCAAATTAAACGAAACAATCGCTATTTTTGTCCACGCGTGTAAACCTCAAGTGTTGTTGTGTAAGTTAATAGTACACCCTGGATGTTGGATTGCTGTGTCACTGTGAGAAGAGACGAGATTCGAAAGTCATTTTTTACTGAATGGCCTCTATGGCTCTGGACTTTTTGCAAACAGAAGACAGCTTGTTTTTCATTAAGGCTAAAAGTCTCAACAATTGCAGGTTATTCTCCCAAAGAAACCAACATTTGCCAAAATATAGCATGATAGTTGCCTTTAAGACATCATGAACAGGTATTAAATCAGTACCGCCAATGAAAGCATTTGATTAGTATTGTTCGACAAATTTCTGTTAATTCTGGATCTAATGTATATTTTTCCTTAAAAGGAATTTCAATCGATTATCTTTCCGCGGATGAACCTGATCATAACGTTTGCTGTGTTTGCAATCCCAAATCTTTCCGCCATTCAACATTCGCAGCATGCAAATAGTGAGTTGCATAAGTTTTTGTGTGCATACGTGCAGAACAAGCCTTCGACATTTGCTTGCACCTGCACCGTCGTAACTTGCACCGCTCGCCCTAAAAGTATGCAAAAAAAAATCATATACCACAGTATAAACTTCCCTACTTTAACATGCGTGGGAGGGCAGCGCCGACACGACTGATATTCAAAGCGGCTGGGGTGGAGCGGGGTGTCATTTCAAGACTGAGGAGAATTGAAAACGTGCGAGTTTGACAGAACGATTCACGATTAATCGTTATTTGTTTGCATCGCAAAATTTGCTTCAAGTTGAAGGATTATCCGTTCCTGTAAATCAGGGCGTCATTTGAAATTCGGCCTGGTTTTCTTTTTTAAAGGATTATTTATCCTGAACCTACCCGGCGTTACTTTCGTTCTTTTTGAAACCAATGGTGCTCACGCACAGTGTCTCACCGTTAATTCAGTATTTCACTTGCAACTTGTAAAGTCATTTCGCAAAGCGTTTAACTTTCGTTCTTAACCCAAACTGCGCAGATTTCTGTTCACGAAAATCGCTAATATCACCTTTTATTGAGCATTAGGAAATATCGAATTTTGCATGGCCCTTTTAGAAAGGGGTTATATGTTATACGTTTACCAGGAATAAAGAAATCGCTGGCACAATCCATTAATTGAGTCCGGATCCAGACAAGAAAGACGTTTCTGGTTTCATTTATTGGCACAAACAAACTTTTCAGTGTTTAAGCACTTGTTTAAATTCGTTTGAGCTTTAGTAACTCAGATGTTTATAAACCATCCCTTTCACATGGCTGATACAGGTCGTGTTTTGAGATGCTCGTTGATGTTTGGGATCGCCATAACACGCTCATAATGAGACATCAAAAGAGGAAAATCTTTGATCAATGCTGGAACCTCCATATTATATATATTATATTACAAACGTTTTTTGAATAAAAAGGTCTGATTAGATCACTTAAACCTATTCAAGGGTTCAATAAGTCCGATGGAACACGTAAGATCACTCCATATTTTAGGAGCGGCTGCGTGAAAGAAAAGATCGGTGACCGTAGCGCGTGATCTAACCCTGAAAAGAACACAAAAGGGAAACAAACTAACAAACAAAAAACGAACGTAACAAAAATAGTGGAATACATTAGTGCCTAAACAAATCTTATGACTATAATTGAATGAATGAATTAACCACCGAAAGAAGGGCTGAGTCGATGAATGAATAAGTGACAGACAGACCGACTGACTTTAAAAGTGTGACGTCTACCTTGTCACCATCAAAGAATCCTTTCCTATCATTATATTGGCCTTAAGAAATTTCTCAAAGCGAGCGAGAATTCCAGGGGTAGCAGTTTCACTTCCTCTTGCAACTTAGCCTGAATCAAGGAATGAACGGGGAATAAAGTGAGTGGCATACATGACGTTCCTGTGGTTATTCTATATTATATCAGCATAAAGACTCATTTTTTCAAGTGAGTTGCAACTCTAGTATCTAAAAAGAAAAAGACTAACAAACGTTCTTAAAACGCAAAAGACAGAAAGAGATGGAGGAAGGGAGGGATGGAGGAAGGAAGGGAGGGAGCTAGGGAAGGAGGGAGAGAGGAGGGAGGAAAGGAGGGAGGGAGGAAGGAGGGGAGGGAGCAAGGGAAGGAGGGAGGGAGGGAGAGAGGGAGAGAGGATAAGAGGATGGAGAAGAAAGAGTGGAAAGATAGGAAGGAAGGGAAAACGAGAGGGTTGGAAAAGAGGGTGAATCAAAAGGAGGAAAAAAGGGAGAGATTAGTAGAGGTAGGGGAAGGAGAAGATTGGGGGATGTGGGGTAAGGGAGGTTGGATGAGAGGGGGGGAGAGGATTAAAGGAAGAGAGAATGAAATGCAGTGACAGGAGGATGTGTGAAATGATTCATAAACTGTTCGGGGTAGGATGAGAAAGGAGGGGGGGTAGGAAGTTGCCTGTAATGAGCTACTGTTCTGTCAATTCCTGTTTGAAAGGCAGGCAGCAAAACGGCAGCGGTGCAACTCTACAAGAACTCTGAGCACCAACACTTACGGAGCAGGCATGGGCAATTTTTCCTCTCCATCTGTAGCTTGACAGTTTAATGAGAACTGCAAGGAGCTCAGTCAACAAATTTTAAATCTCTTCAGTGTGCCAGGTGCTTAGGTCACTTCTCTTGCTTGTAGGTACCAACAATACAAATAACAATGGCATCCATGGCAATCTACATACTACATGTTTGTCAGTTCACCCTCTTCCCAAACATACAGCAGGAGAAGGATACAAATAGATGAATTAAGAGAGATAGTTTCTATTTTAATGAAAATATTACCAAGTCATCCGGTCTTCTTCTTTTACCTCTTATAACTGGAGGCCCCTCCTCCCCACACCCTTTTCCCCCAGAGATCAAACGCCAGTTAAAGCTTAAATTAAACAGTTCTCACACAGAAAATAACTTTTCAGTTTAGTTTATTTTTCTTTCCACCACTTCACAGCTGGTAACCAACAACTGGTCGGAATCACAAAACATTTAATGCTCTGTTTTTGGGCGTGTCTCGACCCATTTCTTTATTTCTGGCACATCCAGTACACGTTTGTGATGCGCAGCCAATAACGGGAACTTTTCGAGTGCTTTCGGGGCAGTGGGTTCGCCTTTTTCCAAAAAGTTCATCAGGTCAAAGAAAATGATGTCAGCATATGTAAGCTGTGAATAGATATCATAAAATAAATCTTTATTAGCCTGGGATGTAATTTTTGAGAAGAAAAAGAGAGGAAGAAGAGGAAGAAATAAAAGTATAATGATAAAAATAATGATGCTAATAATTATTATGGTGATGGTGATGATAATGATGATGATAATAATAGGACTTTTGAGTAAATTATACATTTAGCAAATGGACTTATCTATTTGCCATAATCGACGTAATGATGCATTTTTAAATAGTACAATGGCAAGAGGCTTTAACATTGTTTATTCCACAAACAACAATGTGAATAAAATCAAGTAAACCTAAATAGAAGATAGGATTAAAAAATTAGGACGAAGGGTCATGCATGCCTTAAATGCATGGTCTTGCATGTATAGGAAAGAAATCTTGTGTATGTTAACATAAAGATCAAATTTGTTTTCATTCACAAACTGTTACCTTGTCACCAACAAAGAATCCCTTGCCTTCGTTGTTGGCTTTTAAAATATTTTCATATTTTGGCAGTCGGTTAGCGAGAGTTTCTTCCAAGAACTCTTTCATTAGCTCTGTCTACAAAATAATTTTGACCAAACAAGGATAAAAAAATCCAAGTGAAGGAATTGGCCTAAATTAAGTTAGTGACACTGAATTGGTGGTCAAGGGAAATGGAGAGAGAGTTGGCTGAGTAGGCAAATGGGGATAAGTTAAAACAAAAGCACTTCTAGTATATAATACAAATAGGGAGAGAGAATTAGTATGGGAGAAAAATTAAAGAGAGGGAGGTGGGGAAAGGAGAGGGGGAGAAAAGAACTAGTGAAAGAGAGTTAATTAATGAGGACAAGGTTGCATAGGAGAGAAAGGTATAATAAATGAGGCAATAACAGAGGTGGCGGAGAGCAAGGGAAGGGAGAGAGAAAGGTAGGAGGGAGAGGGAGTGAGGCGTAAGAAGGAAAAGGAGAAGAGGAGAGGAGGGTGTGAGGGACTGAGATGGAGAAAAGGTGGAAGGAAGGGATACTTTGGAGTCTGATAACACCATCTAAAGAAGCATGGGAGAGGTAGGGTGATCAAGAAGTTAGTTGACTAGACTAAAAAGGGAAAGGAAAGAGCTGAAAACAAGACAATGGGGGCAAGCTGTGAGGGGAGCAAAAACAGGTGGGACAGATCTGAAGGTAGTGGCAATCAGAAGAGATCTGAAGGTAAGAAGTGAACAAGGTATTGAGATCTGTAATGAAAAGTGATAAAGATTATAAAGAAGAGGAAACAAAAAAACAAAATTGTGTTTATTTGGTACCTTTTTAGCTTCCTCCTTTTCCATAAAAACCTTTATCAAAGCCTGGAAAAAATCTTCAACACCACCCACAATCATATCAGCAATTGCCTCATCAAAACTGTCTGTTGGGCTCAAACCTATATGTAATAAAGCAACAGAGGTTATGTCCATGGGCATAAATGATATGTTTTGGCCATGACTCAGGGTCATTTTAGCCTGACCTGCTTGGCATGAGTGAAAATGACTCTTAAAAAGAGCTCATCACATATTTATGCCCAATTAATACTACCATTATTACTTTTGAGGACATTGAGAAAAAAACAACTGGAAAATTAATGACAAAAATACACCAGTCTGACCAATCACCTGAGTAATTGTAAGCATTTTTGCCAGTCAAAATCTCCTTGCTAGACTGAATAGATTTATTCCCAATAGTTTATTTATTCCATCAAAACAGAACATATACAATATCTCTAATATTACTTACAAAAATAAGAATGGTATGATTAAAAAAAAAAAAGACATCACAAAGGAAGCAACACACTACACCTAACACTAAAGTAGAAAGATTATTACAGAACTACATTTTATGACAGGCAACCCCCTACCCCTCTCTCCCACCCCCTGGAAATCCATCAATTTTCCTTGTATGTTTGTTGATACTTAGTGAGGCACCTTGCACAGTGGTGTTAGTTTAATCATGCTCCTGCCAGGAATTGCACCCATCAGGTAATTTTCAATCCCTGATCATGTGTACCAAATAAAACACCACCATGTCACCCACAAGGCTAGGAGAAAATTTTGAATAATCATAGAAACTTTTTGAGAAGTTTCTTTTATTAGGTAATGTTTGAGAATCAAGCATTCCGCTACCACAATCACAGATAAATTGAGGGTGCCTCTCTGCCCAAGCTTTTATTCCTGAATCTCCAGCACTTTCTCATACAGCACCACCAGCCTTGGATATTTCCTGAGACAAACCATTGTTCCAAGGTTCTCCATCATTCATGAAGCCAATGAAGAGGTTGAAGGAGGTACCGTTGTTTTTGGTTACAAGGTGAGATTAAGTTAATAAATTGTTCACTAGTCAAGCGCACAAAAATTGAAATTTTTCCTGTGGCATACTGATAGTAATAGATAGTAACATTACTGTTGCTGCTTCATAAAGAAAAAAATATTCATTTCATTAGTGATTACTCACCTCCTATTCTGCAAACATACTTCATGATTGCTTGAGACTGTCCGAGCACTTTTCCATCTGGGGTCACAAGAAATGGTACCTGACCAAGAGGGGGTCTGCCAGCTGACAAAAAGAAATAGAAAAATAAATAGAAAGATAGATGATAAATCAATACTTAAGTTAATTAACAGATAAATGGATTATAGACAGTTACTTAGAGAGAGATATATTAAGGTAGATAAATAGATAAATACACATGGATTTGAATAAATTTATTGTTAAATAGAGACAAGAAGAAATAACCAGTAAAGGGATGTCTTATCAGAGGAATGAGCGCATAAGCAATGAATTAACCATAAGTAAACATGTTGATCACATTATGTTTGCTTACATGTAGACAAAAATATAATGGACACATGAATAAATATGACATGCATTTAATTCCTTTTGTTAACATATCCCAAAGGAGTCTTCGATACAAGTAAAAGCATTTGCCAGATAACCACTCAGATAAAATCTAGTAGGTATAAATTATTATAAAATGTCAAAAACAGACAGCTTGCAATACCGCCAACTTTTCACGCGCTTTTGGTTGGAACTTTAGGTGCAGCGTCAGTTCATAACTATTAAAGCATTATCTTTAATATTCGTTTTTAATCATGTTAATTTATTTTTGGATGAAATCATGTGAATATTCGAGTGGCGGCTCTGACTCTTGTTGACGAAAATATCTACTATGGCATAGTCACGCAATCCTGCTGTATGATTTAAAATTATTCAGAAACCTAGCCAAACTTGAGGGTTTTCTCTTTCTTGGAATGAAATTGAAAATAGAGAGAAAGATCACAGAAGCCAATCTTTCTGACAGCTTCACTTCCTGAAAAACCCAAATCATCTCTACAGCCTTTGGTTCTGAGGTTCAGTTCTGGAAACTAGTAACTTGCATCGTCATCGTTACGAATTAATTAGGGAATTAAGATAGGTCAGGTGGATGGACAGAATGTTAGATTGTAGTCATCCTTCCGACCTTTTTCGCGAAAATCTACTACCTAAGTATTTTTTTGGGGGGCTCCAATTTCTTATCATTGCATACGTTCCCATGCACTGCATGATAATTCGTACTTAACTGAAATTGAGTTTTATTCGACAAAGAACACACGGTAAATTGAAAGAATCGATTTTTGTGATGATAATGAGGATAGCATGCGGTTTTAGTCGCAATCTTTTCTTTTCCCTTTTTTTTTTAAGAAACAATGTGTTTTAGCAATGAGAGACGATTTGTCATTCAATATGCAAGTCCTGAACCTTTATATGCAAACCAACTTTCTCGGTTAAAGGTTAGTTATTTCAGGATAACGTTTTGAACACAAGCGCTATGTTGTAAACTGCATTCAAGATTTTCTACTCACATTCTTTCTCCTTGACCCATTCTTCTCTGGTAAATCGGATGTCTTCGTATTCCATATTCGCAGCAACGAAAGACAGTCGAACGATCTCAGCCCGAGCTCGGGTATCAAAGTAGTAAAGTTTGTAGCCTGACATTGTTTCTTGTAGGTGATTCTTCGGAGCGCTAGCGCAGCGTTTATATGTTGCCGATGGACGTCACGCAACATCTCACGGTGACGTTTTAATTAGTTTTATTTTGACAAGTATGTCATCATGTACTTATTGATGCTTAATTGATTTCCCGAATTATTTTCGTTTATGAAGTCAGCATTAGTTATGCAGTAGCTTCGTAGCTTTCAAGGCGATTTTTCTCGGCTGCTTTCGAAATATTGTAAGCTTAACATAGTCTTTTTCCTTTATTATGTTTTTCAGATGCCCAGAAATCGACAACCTACGCCATTAATTTCTATCCGGTGGAAGGTAAATTTGAGTACAGCAGCTACCTCGCTACCAAAATTAGCAGTATTTGTGTTTTGGCTAGATGTAACATACAGTTAAATTAGTGAGGGGAGCACGAAGCAAACGAAACAGTCGCTATTTTTGTCCACGTGTGTAAACCTCAAGTGTTGTTTTGTGAGTTAATAGTACACCTTGGATGTTGGATTGCTGTGTTACTGTGAGAAGAGACGAGATTCGGAAGTCATTTTTTACTGAATGGCCTCTATGGCCCTGGACTTTTGCAAACAGAAGACAGCTTGTTTTTCATTAAGGCTAAAAGTCTCAACAATTGCAGGTTATTCTCCCAAAGAAACCAACATTTGCCAAAATACAGCATGATAGTTGCCTTTAAGACATCATGAACAGGTGTTAAATAAGTACCGCCAATGAAAGCATTTGATTAGTATTGTTCGACAAGTTTCTGTTAATTCTGGATCTAATGTATATTTTTCCTTAAAAGGAATTTCAATCGATTATCTTTCCGCGGATGAACCTGATCATAACGTTCTGCTGTGTTTGCAATCCCAAATCTTTCCGCCATTCAACATTCGCAGCATGCAAATAGTGAGTTGCATAAGTTTTGTGTGCATACGTGCAGAACAAGCCTTCGACATTTGCTTGCACCTGCACCGTCGTAACTTGCACCGCTCGCCCAAAGAAAAAAAATCATCATACCACAGTATAAACTTCCCTACTTTAACATGCGTGGGAGGGCAGCGCTGACACGACTGATATTCAAAGCGGCTGGGGTGGAGCGGGGTGTCATTTCAAGACTGAGGAGAATTGAAAACGTGCGAGTTTGACAGAACGATTCACGATTAATCGTTATTTGTTTGCATCGCAAAATTTGCTTCAAGTTGAAGGATTATCCGTTCCTGTAAATCAGGGCGTCATTTGAAATTCGGCCCGGTTTTCATTTTTAAAGGATTATTTATCCTGAACCTATCTGGCGTTACTTTCGTTCTTTTTTAAACCAATGGCGCTCACACACAGTGTCTCACCGTTAATTTCACTTGCAACTTGTAAAGTCATTTCGCAAAGCGTTTAACTTTCGTTCTTAACCCAAACTGCGCAGATGTCTGTTCACGAAAATCGCTAATATCACCTTTTATTGAGCATTAGGAAATATCGAATTTTGCATGGCCCTTTTAAAAAGCGGTTATATGTTATACGTTTACCAGGAATAAAGAAATCGTTGGCACAATCCATTAATTGAGTCCGGATCCAGACAAGAAAGACGTTTCTAGTTTCATTTATTGGCACAAACAAACTTTTCAGTGTTTAAGCACTTGTTTAAATTCGTTTGAGCTTTAGTAACTCAGTAGTTTATAAACCATCCCTTTCACATGGCTGATTCAGGTCGTGTTTTGAGATACTCGTTGATGTTTGGGATCGCCATAACACGCTCATAATGAGACATCAAAAGAGGAAAATCTTTGATCAATGCTGGAACCTCCATCTTTCCTTGTGCAAAGAGGGCATTTACCATGTTAAAGAAGATGATGTCTGCATAGGTTAGCTATACATATACCAAAAAAAAAAAGGCACCATTAAATTGTTTATTGGCTTATATTGTGCAAGTACCAATGTCAAATTTCTAGTTGTGCAATAAAATGAATAAACCTAAATCTAACAATTAAACCTAAACAATAATAAAAAAATGACTAAAATTGGCTAAGAAATATAGAAACAATATAGCTATATAAATATAAATATAAATATATATATATATATATATATATATCCGGCAATTCGAAAAAAGAAATGAAATATATGCACCTTTTATTTTCCCAAAAAGTGTCTCTCTTTGACGAGAAAACTATAGATGCATGTTATTCCTGCATATTTTCAAATTGCGACGTTTTTGAATATATATATATCAGTATTTATGTATATATATATATATATATATATATATACGTTATACATATATACGTTATATATATATATATATATAGAATATTAAAAAGCTTTTTCGAATAAAAAGGTCTGATTAGATCACTTGAACCTATTCAAGGATTCAATATTTCTGATGGGACACGTAAGATCACTCCATATTTTAGGAGCAGCTGCGTGAAAGGAAAGATCGGTGAGCGTAGCGCGCGTGATTTACCCCTGCAAAGAAGGCAAAAAGGGAAAAAAACAAACAAACAAACAAAAAAATAAACGAACAAACGAACGTAACAAAAATAGAGGAATACATTCGTGCTTAAACAAATCTTATAACTATAATTGAATGAATGAATTAACCACCAAAAGAAGGGCTGAGTCGTGAATGATTAAGTGACAGACAGACCGACTGACTTAAAAAGTGTGACGTCGTACCTTGTCACCAACAAAGAACCCTTTCCCATCATTATTGCCCTTAAGAAGTTTCTCAAAGCGAGCGAGAAATCCAGGGGTAGCAGCTTTCACTTCCTCTTGCAACTTAGCCTGATTCAAGGAATGAACGGGGAATAAAATAAGTGGCATACATGGCGTTCCTGTGATTATTTCTCAAGTTAAAAATGAAGTACCAGCATAAAGATTCATTTTTTCAACTGAGTTGCAACTCTAGAATCTGGAGAGTTCTTGAAACGCAAGAGACAGCCTGAACTCGACACTGCCTACATTGCAACATTGCGGTAGCGATTTCGACTGCATGAGTAAGTTATTTGGGCGACCTTCAAATATGTGTTGAAAGTAATACACCACTGAATTGGTTTTGCTTTACTTCGCTCTTCGATTGGTCTAGAAAACTTCCGCTACCCTGTCAACCAATCAGACGCAAGTTTGAGGCAAATCGCGTGTTGCTTTTTGCGTTTTCCCGCGTTTTGGGCCCCTAGCGTGTTTTAGCTCTAAGCTCTCATTGGCTTTTGGTGATTTTTCTTCGCTGTGATTGGTCGTGGAGATTACCTTAGTTTTGGTCGTACGAGATAGTCGTAAGACCGCACTGAAATTCCTCATAATAATCTCTTGTACGCTGCGCAGCAACGAACTGGAATATTAACTGGAAAAGACGGATAACTTTATAAATACGATTAGAGACTGTTTACCTTTCTAGTTGGGTCTTTTTCAAAGAAAGCTGAAGCATGTTTTTCGGTTAAATCAGCAGCGCCATCCACAATCATGTCTGCTTTAGCCTTTTCCAAATTGGTGGAGGGAGTAAGACCTAGGAGAATAAGTGAAAGCAAAACTTATAAAGGAAAGAACGTACGAAAGAGACAAAAAGTATGATAATGAAAAAATGAAAGAGTAGCGGAAGAGAAGAAGAGAGAAAAGAACTAAGGAAGTGAGGGAAAAATGGAGTAGGGATGGAAGGGAGGGAGGATGGGAGGGAGGAGGGGGGAAGGGATGGAAGAAGGGAGGGAGGGAGGGAGAGAGAGAGAGCGTAAGAGGATGGAGGGGAAGAGTGGAAAGATAGGAAGGAAGGGAAAACGAGAGGGTTGGAAAAGAGGATGCATCAAAAGAAGGGAAAAAGGAAGATATAGAGGTAGGGGAGGATTGGGAGATGTGGCTGAAGGGAGGTTAGAAAAGAGGGAGAATGGGAGGGAGAGAGGATGAGAGAAGATTAAAGGAAGGGGGAATAAAATGGAGTGACAGAGGGAAGGTGAAATGATTTATAACTGAAGGAAGGATGAAAAAGGAATTAAATGCATAGATGTCCTTTGAAAATGCAGACTTGGATGCAGTTTTAATGACGAGTACTTTATTCCTTTCCTGTTTTGTTGAGAACTTCTTCAAAAAAAAGAAACCTACCAAATTCATTGCCTAAAAATCTTGCTATAGAGAATGATTGAGAAAGCATCACTCCATCAACTTCAAGCACTGGAAGCTGACCAAACGGAAACTCTGAAGCTGCAAGAAATAAAAATATACAAAATAATTACCGTGCATGTTTTTTTTCTATTAGAAAAATATATATGTTATATATATATATATATGTTATATATAAATAGGAAGTCTGCAAGTCGATTTTCGCGTGGAACAGTGCTCAATATGTTGAAGCAGAGCAGAATAAATATTATGAGAGGAAAAAAGGACGCAACTACATTTCCCGACAAGCCTGTTTCGTGAATCGCTTCACTCTTCAGGGGATCGATATATGTCATGGCGTACTTTATGTAGTTGATACTTGTGATTTTAGTGTAAAAATTATAAGGAATTTGAGCAGCTAGGTTCACGCTTTGCGATGCGTCAATGTTGCTGATAGCGATCACTTCAAAAAAAAATCTTTTTTCCCTCATTATATATATATATATATATATATATATGCGCAGTTCGTAATATTTATGGAACTATCTTGACTTAGAGAGGAACATTGAAGAAAAGGAGCGTTCCGAGCTTTGAGGAGATGTTAAGATTGTAGGGATATTGTATTAGTGGACAGTAAACGGTGTTTTTTGGTTTTTGCCCTAAAGGTACTTCTGTTTGGAATCCTTAACTAGAGAAACATTTTCTTTATTAATGAACCTCAAAAATACTGTCATTTGACTTCATTACCCTTTGCTAATGGTCTACTTTTTTTTCAATACGAATGAATTGATCGTCAGATAATTTGGTTATCAACTGAACTGACAATGTGAATTGCTCGTCGCAAAGGTCTACAGTCAAAGAGACTACCAAGCTGACATTCCGAGTGCGATCCCTTCTCGCGCCAGAACAGCAATTGAATTGATCTTAGGTACGCGAGAAGTAATGAAAAAGTTTTGAAGGGTAGAAAATTTCCTCGTATGAGCGTCCCTTTTTCCCTTTTTATTTCTGGGTCCGAATTATTACATTCCCATATTTAACTGACCCTCAGTGTATTTACTTTCTGCAGCGCACCAACGACCTTTGTTTAGTGACAGCTATCATCAATACCCTATATTTGTTATTCAACACCTCACATATGCAAATTATGGCTTAACGAGAAACACGGCTTAGCTTATTTAATCAAATTCAAACCATGTTCATAGGCTCTCAAACCACAACTAGCCTGGCGTAAAATTCGATATATGTCATGGCGTACTTTATGTAGTTAATACTTGTGATTTTAGTGTAAAATTATAAGGAATTTGAGCGGCTAGGTTCACGCTTTGCGATGCGTAAATGTTGCTGACAGCGATCACTTCAAAAAAAAAAAATGGTGTTCAACCGTTCGGAAAACGCGTTCTGAATATTTGGAAACACGGCATCGTTCACGCATTTTCTGACTTTTTCCGACAGGAAAATCCAAAGTTGTCCCTTTGTTTTCGAGTCGGCGAATTGGAGTATTCGTTCCATAAGAATCGAACTCCTTCTTATAGCAAAGTAGATTTGGAACGTCGCAAGCGCGTTGCAAAATCATATAGCCGCTTGTCCCAACGAAAATGAGGTAAAAATAATTCAGGCTATGAACTGAGCTGAAGTCCAGAAAATGAGTTATCCTGCAACATGCAGCAAAATTTATTTTACATTGCAAACACACGAATGAACCACCCCTACTCACAAGCTTTCAAGGCTCCCCACTCTTCGAATGTCACACGCTTATCCTCAAACTCCTTTCCAGCCGCTTTGAAAACCAATCGTGCTGGTTCTCCTCTTCCTCTGATGTCAAAATAGGTGAGTTTATAGCTCGGCATCTTGGTGCGTGAGGCAGACAGTTTTAACTCAAATTTGCAAATGAATAAAAATGACAGTTACTGCAACTGATCGAGCAGGTGTGGCGCGCATGTACTTCAAGAGATTGAAGTCACACAACTGAACATTTGCATGACAATAATTAAAAGAATAGGATTTGTGCTCTTTGTGCACCGCTGGTCATTATGCTTTGGAGATTGCTAACACGCATGATTACCTCTTCTTTAGTGACTGATTTACAGCAGTAAATCAATTTAAAGGAGTAATGTATAGGTTCAAATCAAGAAAGGCGAAATCTAAACATTTGTTATTGGTCTTGCGTCAACCATCGTGACAGTTTGAGGTATGTCTATGGAAAGACCTTTCTCGAATCACTTTGGTTGGTAATTTTCAAAAATTGAAAGGAGAAATTACAAATCTTAACATCTATAGACGGAGGTAACGTTCTGATAAACCCTCGCAGAGACCTTTTTTCCTAAAAGGCCTGGTAAATTGATTCGTTTATTCTCGTAAATAAACATAAAGAATTTCCCTTGCTATAAGATTGTCATGATGAAGAATACACAAAGTAACGCAAAGATCTGCTCATATCAGTGTTTCAGGTCGCGCCTCCAACCACTTTTTGACATTTCAGATCTCCATGGTGCGTTTATGGTGAGACTCCGGCGGATGATATGCTTTTATTTCCTCTGGAACTTTGATCTTTCCCTGTACGAAAAGGTGATTCATCATGTTGAAGACGGCAATGTCTGCGTACGTGAGCTGAAAATATACAGATGATACAGGTTGATGACAAATATAAATCAAGAAAATTTACGAACAAAGAAATAAACAATGAAAGAAATGAACCAACAGGGAATAAATGGATTATGAGTGAATTAATGAATGAACAAATGAACGCGCGAGCGAGTTAGTGCGTGAGTGCGTGAGCGAGTGGGTGCGTGAGTGGGTGTGCGAGAGAGTTAGTGAGTGACTAAGCGAGTGGGCAAGTGAGAGAGTGAGTGAATGAGTGAGTGATTGAGTGACTGATAAAGACTATGAGTGAGCGTGTGAGTGCGTGAGCAGGTGGGTGCGTGAGTGGGTGGGTGCGTGAGTGGGTGAGCGAGAGAGTTAGTGAGTGAATGAGTGAGTGACTGGGAGTCTGGGAGAGCGAATGAATGACTGAGTGGGTGGATGATATATTTTAATGAACTTTAGAGGAATCATTTCTACTTTCAGCCAAAGCAGACATGATTTTTCACGATTCAAAAGTGAAAACGATGATGATAATGAGCAGTCTAACGGGCTGGAGTAAAACAGAAAAAGGAGGAAGGATGAAAGGGAAAGAATGGGCAGGAGTGAAAGAAGGGAAGAGGAAGGTTAAAACTCGCTTCTTATCAGGAGAGACACCTTTACCAAATATGATAATGATTATTTGTTTTTGGCTGTGCATTAGCCTTGAAATCAAAAAGAGTAGTAAACTTTCCTGGAGTATTTAATCAGACAGACTCTCTCATTATTTTCTCTTGAAACTTACCTCAGACATTGGCCACACATCTTGCAATAGATAAAGGGCTGGGAAAGACTGTTCTCTATCAAATTCAAGCACTGGCAGTCGACCAAAAGTGAATTTCCCGGCTTTAAGGAACGCAACGAAAATTACCCTTAAAAGGGAACAGCTATCAAAACATATGGTACATTTGGGCATTAATTAGTCTCCCTCGCACCCGTTTTAGGGGAAGAAGCGTTGCGTGACGAGTCTATGAACCGCAGCGAAGGAGACTGGGCATTAATAGGAGCTTTTAGTAATAAAACTGTAAGCAGTATATTACAGCGACCATACTGTCATGTTGCTCCACACTGAAATCTATCTTAAAAAAGGCCTGCGCTTTGTAAAGATACGAAAGAGGTTTTAAGTAGCCAATAAAAAAGTTGTTTAGGATGTTTTCAATCAAAACGGGCTCTCGTTAGTATTATTACTGTACTCACTTCTCATTCTCATTTTCTTAATTTCCCGGCCTTCGCCGTTGTGACCACTTTAGATCGTAAAAGACACTCAGTCAAAAAGCTCTCTATTCATAACTTAATAATTATAAAGATCAACAGAATCAAAATTAGCGACCAAGTCCTCTGTAACTAATAAGTACAGTTGACGGTAAAAACAATTCATTACCTTTGTTATTTCTTTTTTATCTGAATTTTTCGGCTGTTAGTTCGTTACTTTGGAAACAATACAATTTTTTTTCTCATTGTTTTTCTATTATTTCAGCAATTTTGTTTGTGCTTATTTCGTTTCCTTTGTTGGTTTGCCAGTTTTTTTTTTATTCGATTTGTCATTTTTTTGCGTTTTGAGGGAGGGCTGGCTGCCCGCTTTTGTCGGAAGCTACATGATATAGATATACAAAAAGAGTCACATTTGTGAAGCTAACAATCTTTATGCAAATTCGGGCTTAAACAGCTGAAGCAGACCGTAAATTTATTTACGAAATTTAAAAGCATTATTTTTTAGCCCCTGAACCTGGTATCGCAGAAGTCAAAATTCGAGATATTTCATAACGCACCTAATACCAGCCTTTTTCCTGGTAAAAAAATTGCGCAGTTTGAGTTGACAAGTTTTAACGTTTTGCGACATGATTTAAAAAGCTGTAAGCGAAATCTTTAATTAACGATAGAACACTGTGGCCATCATAGATACAGAAAGGGGAATGAAGGCGTTGAGAGGTTCAAAGATTAATAATCCCTTAAACGTGTAAGCTGAAATTCAAATCATGACCTCGTCTAAAGAAACAAATGACCCTTCATCTTAACGCAAATTTTGAAATGCAAACAAATGATTGAATCGGTCTGTCAAACTCAAAAGCTTTCAGTGCTCCCCAGCTTTCAATAGACACCCGGTTATCTTCAAACTCTACCCAACTGCTCTAAAAATCATTCGTGTTGCCTCTGCTCTCCCTCGGATGCCGAAGTAGGTGAGTTTATACTGTGGCATAACTATTTTTTTTTTATTTGAGCGAGCGGATAAGAATTGTAAATAACGATGACAGAACAGGCGCAAATAAAAAGCTCGTTTTGCACGCATACACACTATACTTATGCAACTCTAAATTTGTATGATACTATTGAATGGAGGGAAACTTTGCGTCGCAAGCACACTGCTTAACGTTTTCAAATAGTTTGGAAAGATGTGATGATTGCTCATAACCCGTAGCAGATCTAGGGGAGGGGTCCGGGGGACTCTTTATACTCCAGGGTGAAGAGAGGCAAGAATACAGTTGACACAATAACCCAGCCGGGTCTCGAACCCAGACCTCTGGGCCCAAGGTCCAGCGCACTGACCGCTTTTCCCGCCACGTGTTCACATTTGCTTCAAATTAAAGGTGATTCTGTATTCATGAAAATAATAATATACTTACAAAAAGCAGTCTTTCTTATATCTACTGGTATGTATTTTATTGGAATTCGGAAAACTTCTAGTATAATAACATAAATTTCCCTTGAGATTGCCTAGTAAACATACTATTCAAGCCATGTACATAGTTATTCTTGAAAGTTCCCTGTTCATGACTAGCTACTCTTTCTTCTTGCTGTCAATATACTTTCTATATTTGCATCCTTTTTAAAGGATGATCTATAAAAATCATGTTGAGAAGTTACATGTTCTCTTTTTCTAAGCTAGTAAGCTTATAAAGACCTCCTTTCACAACACAGTGTCTGGCCTGGTTTCAAGCCTTTTCTTCACAGCTGGGATATCTCGCACACGCTCATAGAGGCCTCGTAACAAGGGAAAATTCTCTAATTCAACTGGGTATCCTTTAATCTTGTCCTTAGCAACCCAGCTGTTCAAAAAGTTAAAAAATGATATGTCTGCATAGGTTAGCTGAAGGATAAAAAAAACAGAATCACATTTAGAAAACTGCAAATTAAAAAACTGAATATTTCAACATCATTCTTAAACCACTGTGTGACAGAAAGAAAATTCAGTATAGAAGACACCTAAACAGAATTTTTAGGGAATACTACTCTGCGTTGTTTCAATAAAAGACTTTAAAACATTCAGTAAAAACTCTTTTTGGAACACTTTTATTTAAGGAACAGCCTGCTCAAAAAACACAACCTTTTCAATAATTTGTTCCTTTTACCTTCACATCTGTTACCCTTCAATAACAAACAGCAATTATGAAAATATCACTTAAGAGAGACCACTGGCAGCTCTATTCCAATGCAACTATAAGAGAAGTTAACTAAACCTTCAAGTACCTTTTTCCCAACAAAAAATCCTTGCCCTCCTTCATTTGCTTCAAGTAACTTTTGAAAACTCTTCAGAGCAGATGGTAGGTGAGACTCTAGAAAGTCCTTTGAGAGTTTTTCCTGCATGATGGTATTAAAAGTTATGTAGTAAAAATAAATTGATGTTTTTTTAAGGCCTGCCTGGTAATTCTCTTTTTTCCACTATTTACTTGCCACATGTAGTGGCAGAGGTATTTCATGAAGTAATAGCCAAAAATTCTCCATATCTTAATAAAAAATTTAGGTCATCCAAATTTAACAAGTGAATTCTTTATATTTGCCACTGAAATCTCCAGTCTCCATTGCTTAATTTTAGGCCTTTTTTTTGTGTAGAGAGAGAGGAATGGGATTTTCAAAAATAATCGAACAGTGGGAGCAGGGGAACAAGATCCAATATCAAACATTGCCAGCTTTCAGATTTCTAGAATTTTACTCCTCTATATGATGGTTGAGTCTGGACAATTTTCTGTTAAAGAGGCATGGGAATGGAGTTTTTTCATTAGCATTTACTGCTATTTTGTTTCATGAAAAAAGAAGAAAGCACAAGGTTTCTAGCTTTCCTATCTATTATCAAGGGTCATCAGCCCTTTCAAATGTGTCATGAACTAACCTTGAGTGATGGATCCCTTTCAAAGTGTACATCTCTCTTCTTAGCCCTGATATCCATCACTGCATCCACAATTGCATCAGCCTTTGCTTTGCCCAAGTTACTATCGGGTGCAAGTCCTGTAATGGTTAATTTATCCAGGGGTTTCAAAAAAAGCTGGTGACCACCGGAGTCTGCTGGCTATTTCCTAACATGTTGCTCTTACTAGTCAAAATAATTACCTTTTGGCCCTTAGTGAAATTCTCACAGTCACCTACTTCTGCAGAGTCTAACCCCTACTTCATGATATATTGGAGGCCTTATTTACCAGGTTAAGGTATTGTTACCAGCACAATGCTCTTTTTGCTAACATTATTATCCTTTTTCTCCTTTGTATGATTATCACTGATTAACATCCTAAATTCTCTTCAAATCAATTTTTACATCCTAACATTGGTATGTAAATTCTCCATGCTGTTCTTTCTACATTTCCTAAGATGCTGACAAGGAGAATTTGTTTAACAATCAAGAGCTTCTTTAGTTGGTGATCATTTCCTCTGTTCTCATGACTTTACTGTTTGATTCAAGGGTGATATTGTAGAGAGAAATAAGATGCTAATCACTCTTAGGGACCAAAGAGTTAATACTGTACAAATGATAGTCTGTGCTTCTGCTTGTTTAAACTGGGCAAAAGTTCTGTTCTTAATAAAATGCCTTGTTTCGGGGGAGTTTTCCTTATTCAAATGTGTCTGAAATGTGGGACAAGGAAACTTAGGCTTATTGCATGAGGTATGTAGACTGTGAATTGTGGCAGTGCAGACTGTTACTCATTTTTAAATGCAATAATTCTATAAATAAAATCTCACTTTAAGATATTGGAGAGATCTCTGAAAATCATTATTTGAGTTGTCAAGCACAAGTATGGAAACTGAATTTTTGAATTGCAGTTTTGTGGTTTCTAAAAGTCCAGATCACCCTTGTAGTGACATAGTGACATTTAATAATAATAATAATAATAATAAAGAACTTTATACAAGTGTCAGAGTATTTGGCTATATATAAGGTAATTGTGGACACTAAAAGATCATTCCAAATACAAAATTAAAACAGGGATACTTCATGTGTTAAAAATCTATTTTCTAGGGAAGCTCCATAATAAAAATCTGAAAAAAATCTGCACTATTTATTAATTTTAATATTGGCTAATGAAAAGAAACTTGCTGTACATTTGTGACTCACCAAACTCATTTGCAAGATATCGTAAGATGGCCACAGACTGGCTTAGAACAATTGGTTCTGACTTAGCATCCTCCTTTATTTCCAGTATTGGCACCTGATTAAAGGGGCACTTCCCAGCTAAATGAACAAGCAGCCAGACAAATGAACAACATTATTCTTGAAGGTCATTGCAAGAAAATATTCAAACTAGGATAGATAACTATGCATAAAAAAATTTACACGGCAATCATTCGGAATATTTAGATCGGTAAAACGATTGACGGTCTGTATCGTTTTATTGATGGGACTAGGCACGCTAAATCATTCATGGATCAAAACTCTATAACTCGGCCCCGACGCCAAATTATATACGTGACCTTGACGTGTTTTGATTCGATACAATTTGCTTAGAAACATCATTTATTAACATCATTTGCTGTTAACACACTCGTATATTATGAACTGAATTACGTCTAACTTGTAAATTTTACTTGACGATCGATGTATTCGCAGTCTTACACTGCACAACAATCGTGCTCTGCTCATGTACAGCGCCTGAATTATAATTTCTGTTTCATTTTCATTCACACGTCCACTTACTCGCTTTGAAGGCAGGCCAGTCCTTTTCAATATCGACACAGAAGTCCTCGAATTCGACTCCAGCGATGAGAAAAGCTAGCCGAATGAATTCTCCGCGGCCTCGTGCGCGAAAATAGTAGAGTTTGTAAGATTTCTGAGACATGATAATTATTTCGTGACTTTCAATACTCGTGCAGTTAATGAGACCACTAGTTGAGTCACGTGTCAAGAACCGGGACAAGGGTTGACGAAAGATGCGCATGGGGCAAGAGCGGGGAGTGGGGAGGGCCGGAAAAGGCTTACTGATATAATTATTCTCTGCATGTAGGAGTTTAAAGAAATTGGCTGATTTCCGATGAGGTTTTTAGTAGCGTTTTAAAAATTTCTATTTTTTTTTTCGCTTTTCCTCTTTGTCTGTTAAAGAATGTTCGTTTTAGCCTAAGTTCTCACACGTGGTTTCCTATGGCTATTTTGTGGATCCTTCACTTTGCCAAGAAGCGTTCATCACTTTTAATTTTCAACCTTATTTCATTTTTAAACATAAAATAGTTAAAGAGCCTTGTCTGCTCACAAATTCTCCAGTTTCCATCTTTTAAATCAAACTTAAGTTGTGAATAGAAAACAAATAAATAAATAAATAAAGGAAAAGAAACAGTAACAACGTTGACAAAAACTAAAATTCATATGGGTAACCCTGGATTCTCCATTGGAGAGAACATAAAGTATCATAAACTTAAAACAAGAACACACGAATAAATGCACAGAAAAACAAAACAAGGAGGAAAATTATGAACCGACTTTCCATGTGTTTTGAAACAAAACAGTTGGTAAAATTTCCTGTGAGATGAACACAATAAATGAGCTAATGGCTTGGAATGCCCGCAAGAGTTGTGCTTAATCAGGTCCAAAAAAACAATCAAAGACCAACAACTGTCAAATCTTTTGAGTCGCACTTTATTAACTATGATATTAGACTGGCTGACTAGAGGTTAATTTTGTGACATTATCCCTTGTCTATTGCTGAAGGATAATATAACGTCTCAATAGATGTAATCCACGAATCCGTCTGTCGGATTCTTCAACTTCTCCAAAATCTTCGGCTGCGTTCGGACACGTTCGTACCAAGCCGACAAAGAGGGAAACTTTTTCAAACCCTCGGGAATTCCTTCAGCTTTTCCCTTCATGAAATAACTGTTTAAAAAGGTGAAGACCACGATATCGGCATAAGTCAACTGTAGAAAAACAACACGTTGATGTTAGTTATTGAAAACATCACTCACTCCATTATTGCCAGCAAGACCGCTGTCGACGATGACATTGTAATCGTCATCATTATCATGTATATCGGGTATATCGTCACTGCTTCTTAAACCGCCTTAATTGGTCACTCATTGTTTTTGTTTCTATCATTAATATCATTATTTGCATAAACGCTTCGCCATAAGCTTTTCTTGGCCTGCAGTTAAGTACGACGTCTTAAGGCAACGCAGGCCGGCGAGAGGTCTGGTAAGGGGTGTAGGGATGTTAGTGCCAGACCCCACGCAAATCTCTGCCTGACTCGTCTCAAGTCTTCTTGCAGGTAGAGAAGCACGCATCCTGTAGCGCTAAAAATGAGGACCTATGCGCATTAAAGTAAAGAATTTAAATTACATCTGTTGATGTTGTTTTCGTCATACTTGTCACCGCTGACTCGCCTCATACTGTGAAATGATAAACAGGGCAGTTGCCAGGATAGTTTCTGATTAAAAAAAATTGTGACAAATTTTTTTGGTGTCTGGGGTGAATCTAATGACTTGATTTGATGATCATTGTAGAACGTCAATGTTGCGAAATCACGCCTCTTTTTGGCTAGGCTACTGGCAGGGTCTTATTATGAGCGATTCTGGATGAGCCATTCTTCCCGCGGGAAAAGCATGAAGTCGAGCAGCGCGAGCGGGCGCGAGGTCTGTAGGAGTTGTGGGGCTGATTATCAGTGCCAGGTCTCCGGCAAACTTCTCACCGACTCGTGTCTCAAATTTTCTCGCGGGCGGAGAAACACGCATCCAGATACGCTAATATATCGAAGGCCTGCCCTCAGGCCACACTTGTCGGCCTACCTTTTCACCAATGAAGAATCCATTTTTATTAGCTGACAAGATCTTTTCAAAGTATCCACATTTATCTGGAATCACTTCTTCGGTGGCGGTCTTCATACCTTTTTCCTGATTCATATACGAAGAAGAAAATTAGGTTTCGCAAACCGCAAATTAGTTTGTCTTCAGACCCTACCTCCATGAAAGCTAAGATAGGTGGGACTTCAACGCTCGCTCGTTCGTTCGTCCCGGAAGTCAACAACGGGATCATCAAACCTTTCTTTCGGGGTCTTTCTCCCCATACGCCTCTGTTAGTGTGGTCTCTAATTCGTTGACCACGTGAGCCAAAGAATCTGCCTGAGCCTGCTGAAGATTGCCTTTTGGAGCAAGATCTGAAAGTTAAATGCAGTTCGCGTTTGCATAAACATTCGACAGGAAAGGGAAAATGTTTAGGGAAAATGTTTGATTACATAGAATAAAAACAACCAAAACGAAAAAAACGGGCAAGTAGCTGGAATGTTTTAGCAGGTTACTGGGTGAATGGACTGTAACATGGCAAGATCAAATCTATTTCTAAATGACATTTTCATTCATATCAAAGTGGTACAGAGAAGAATCCAAGTTTTTCCTGAAGTTGAGTGGTTGGCGTACGTTTTCGTGAGAGTTTCATAGACAACATCTTTCAACTTATTATTCATCGCTAAACCGTAGCTTTTATGCAAGCGCTGTCGTTCTCTTGGTTCGTCACCCAGTCGTCACAAGAATTGGGGATAATTTCATTACGGAGCGGGAATGGGTTGGAATGTTCATTTAACAATCTTCTATTAAACAAGAGTTGATAAGTATGTTTATTAAAAATAAGAGATGATCGTGACTTACTGAATTCCTTAGCCAAATAGCTTAAAATAGCCTTGGATTGTGTAAGGACTGTGCCATCGACCTCGAGGATTGGTAGCTGTCCAGAGGGGCTTAATCCAGCTGACAAAATAACAAAACAAAGAGACCTTTCATTACCTTTTGGTTTGGGTCTCCTTACAACGAAACCCCACCTCCATTCCATTTCCCGTGGTACATTTGAGACCTAGATTAACCAATCCTTCCTCCTCACCCCTCCCTCGGGAGCAGCACAAAGGCTCTCCTATCAGGCACTCAAATCGCATATTTCTTTGCACTAACGATTCGTTTTGTTTGACAATTGAAATAATGGCAACTGGATTGATTGTTTCTAAATGACGTCCAAAACAAACAATTGATGACACAAAACTGCTGCGATTAAAAGTGTAATCATTCAAAAGCAATCTGACACTTAAATTTTTTTCGTAGTACAGCGATTTCGATCAAAGTCCTTTGGCGAGAAATACCCGTTCAGCAGTCAGAAACCATCTATTTCTCGGTTAAAGAGATTGTGAAAGCGTTGTTTGAGTAAAAGTGGCATTTCTTTTGTGACAGAAATTGACTGTAAATGTTTGTAAACGCGACCCAACTGGTTATGATTTGCACAAGTTGACAGATTTGACTACATCAACATCTCCTGAGGTTATACATTAAGATTTGAGATAATTCTCGAGCGAAGCACGCACAAATATTTTCTGCGCAGTCCATCCCACTGCTCATATTGTGTGACGAGGACGATAAACCTCGCACCAAACATTTTGCATCTTATATTCGCTACATTTTTACATCGGCGTAGAGAACGCCACGTAACTCTTATTATACTCACAGTGTTTCAGCTTTGTAAACCACTCTTCCGGATTTACTAGGATGTCATCGAACTCAACTCCAGCCACCGCGAAAGTTATTCTGATGGCTTCGGCTCTTCCTCTAAGTGGAAAGTACGAAAGCTTATATTTCGGCATCGCCCTAGTGAAGATACGGACAAAGACTGCAAGGGGTCTGAGTGTATGACGTGGTTTACTCTCGATGGAGACCGAGATGTGATGAGATGTGATGTGACCTTCGCGGGTCAACAGCGAAAGACAAAGCCAATTAGCGTGGTTAATGTGACTCCAAAGAAATCTGTCAAGCTTGTTTCGACAGAAGTGGGTAGAGCGTGGGGTTAAGGTTGGAATTTGATATTTAGAGATCCTAACATTGTGAATAAACCCTCGTGAACATCTTGTGATATCCTTGCACAACATGCAGATTATTGTGATTTTCACGATGATCTTTATACCGGGATTATATGCATTTCCTAAATGCGTCCCTAAACAAGGCCTTTTTTAAATCTCCGTTATTTTCCTCCCTTTCCCCCGGGGGAAGTGGATTTTTTTAATTCCGAAAAATGCCGCCGTGGCCTTCAAATTCTAGCCAACATAAATATGCATTTCGCTGCATTTTGTAAGCCAAAAAAATATTGATAATTGTGGCATACCGATGACTAAATGCTTTAAGTGAATTTTAATCGAGCTTTAATGGGAAAAAGGGGGAAGTAGTGGGGGCCTGGAAAGTAATCTAGCAGTACAACCCTCTCTCTTCAAAGGAATCCTAGTCCACGTCAAGAGAATGATACTCTCTCGCCCTTTTTTCTCTTTTATGGGGGGTAGGGGAGGGGGAAAGGGCACAGTGAATCCTAAATGGTGCCTTTTGACCAGATAGAAAAAAAGGACCACCCAACCCCTACTCCCTTATTATTCCTCTCTTTGAAAAATTATAGAGAGGTGAGCAAGCTAGTAAGAGAACATCGTATTTTTACTTCTTTTGTTTTTGATTCAAGACAAATTGCCACGCCATCTTAATCACTCGGCAAGAGAGGTTGTAAACAGTTCGTACACGGAGAGACTACAAAGTGATGTTGTGTTTTCAAATTTATTAACCCTATTTGTTTGACTATAAGTGCTGAATTAAAATTACAAAACTATGTTCTAGTTTATTGTGTTTTCCGAGTCTCCTTTTCGTTCCACAACTATGGTTCAAGTATTGCATATCCAGTCACGTGTCCGTTCAGTATGGGTACTCGCCGAGATCTGGTCGCGGAGTCTTGAGCCATTGTTGAATCTTGGGTTGCGTTCTGACCAGCTCGTACCAGGCGTGTAGTTTGGGGAATGCCTTCAACTCCTCAGGGACTCCTTCAGCGCTTCCTTTCAGATAGTAGCTGTTCAGGAAGGTGAATACCACGATATCAGCATAGGTCAGCTGTGGGATATTGATTAGTGTCAGTAAATATGACTGCCAAATGATTCTGTCATTTTATCTGAAAAGCCTGGAAACGGGCAATCAAATGAGTACTAGAATGTACTTACAAATTGCAATCCGTTGCGGCACCGCAGTGCTCTCCATTCTATTAAATTACACTACAACGTAACACTGAATTGTTTTGTACTGCATGGCAGTGGACAGTATTATGTTACCTTATCTTCAATAAAGAATCCCTCCTTGTCGTTGGCCTTCAAAAACTTCTCAAAATATCCGCATTTGTCTGGAATAACTTCTTTGCGAGCAGTTTCTAAGGCTTTCTCCTAGACAAGGGGAAATTATAACATATTAAGTGCTACTGGAAACCAGAAATTCATGCAAATAAAATATGATCGATGGCGTTTTGTCTGGGAGTGAGTGATTTCACTAACCTTCACCGCTGAATCTTCGTGTCTATTAGCTGCGCTTAACACGTTTTCCAAGTCATTAATTATGTGGGCTAAGACGTCTGCCTGCGCCAGTTGAAAATTATCTTTTGGAGCGAGATCTGAAGGAAAATATGGTTTATGTGAATGAAGTATATTTCTTTACTGCCCACTTTAATGGAGTATTGGTCAAGTCCTCTTGTCATGAAAATACTCCGTAAGCCGTTCAAAGAGCGCGAAGGAGCGCTTAATCCCACATTATTACTCGTCTCGCAAAGCGGAGGTCCCATTGGCGGGTCTGAGTATTCATTATCCTATTGATTTTTGGTTTAATTACAGTATCTCGTATCCCATTAATTCCTGTGGTTTAAATCTCGGAATCACTATTAGTTAAATATCCTGTATCCCTATTATTTTTAATCAAAATCCCGTATAACGATAACCCCTGGGGTGCGTTTGGCCTTCCGAGAAAGAGCGTTGCGTGACGGAACCAAGTAACGGCTGCAGCGGTAATATTAATCAGGAGCGTATGGGCTCCTGCATTAATTCAATACTTACTGAGTTCTTTGCCGACGTAACTGAGAATGACTTTGGACTCCATAAGTACTTTACCATCAACGTACAGCACTGGTAGCTGACGGGAAGGGCTTATTCCAGCTTAAATGAATTAAGAATAAAATATACCAATTTTTGTCGTTAGTTATAAATAAACGCGCTAGTGGTCGTAGAAACAAGGCATGCATTACTATTTATGATTGTTCAGAAATCTATTTCAGTCATCGTGGCTCACATTGAGATGTGAAAGAGAACAGCGCTCAGATCCAGATTTCGACGATTCATTTGAACCTAAGAGTGACTTATTGAAAAACTTGAAGACGCAGTTTAATTTCCTTCGAATCTTCCTTCAGACTCCTTGTTCGAAGTCTCACGTAAAGGCCCATAACTTGCAAGAAAAGTCCGATATACGCGAGGTCTTAGCAGAAATGTAGATTTGGCCGATAATCTCATTCAAAATATGAGATATACTACCTCCTTTTACCATAACTTATTTATATCAGGAAAAAATCGGTGCTGGAGCACACCCGGAATTCGGGAGCTAGAGGCCTGTTAATCAGTCTGCAAATAACCACAGTCACTTTCTTTTAGTGTGAGATTGGGTTGCAAATTAAAATTATACTTGTATCAGCCAAGTGGCAGCAATCCTGTTAGGGCATTCAAGTTATTAGATCGAGGCGAATCTCAGGAGAAGCATAAAACCGAAAAAGAAGTCTGCATGGTAAAAACTGGAAGAATATCATATGCAAACTATGTGTTTAGGTTCTCTTGTCTGAATTACAAGAGGATTTGAAGTAATGACTTCTCCAACCAAATAACAAAATTTATGTACAGAGCACCGGCACCGTTATCGAGGGGTGTGGCGCAGAGAAGGGTGAAACAAAGCGGAACAAACGAAATATGCTTTCGCAATGAATATGAAAGCGATCTTTGCAGAAAAGATTTCGCAATAACCTGTGGTCTGAAATATATCAACATTTATCGTGTATGTTTACAGAAGAAACAGAAAGAACAATACTCGACACACCCATACAAACTGTAATCTTTCAAGTCAGGCGTCCGTGGTTTGAATATTCTAGGCAACTCAGCTAAAATTTGACGAATTAATTATTAAAGTTAACAGAGGGTAAAGACTGAAGACGAATTGAGGCTGCGGCGAGATCTGCACCGTCACGGTTCAGTGCGCTCCTTTGACCGTGGCTGCGAAGAAATATAATGGCTTGTTTGATTTCGGTAAAGGAACTTGATCAGCTAGGAAATTGTGGAACCAATGTTCATTTAGCGTTGATGAAAAGGTTGTCAGCAGGATATCCTTGCACAAAGCTTCTTTACTACAGCTATCTCGGGGGGTATCCAAGCTTTTCAAATAGGCAATACTCAAATGACTACTCACAATTCTTGTATTTTGAAATCCAGTCGTCCATTGTATAACATACGTCCTCGAAATCAACTCCGGCGGCGGCGAAAACCATTCTGATGGCTTCCGCTTTTGCGCGAAGTGGAAAGTAAATCAACTTGTACGAAGGCATTGTTTGCAGAAGCTGCAGGTAGCAAGCGAAACAAGAGCGTGTGAGGCGAGAAGCGCGTGGCGTCCGGAGACTTGTGATTTACGGATGATATCTTTCGATAGTATCCGATTTCTGAGCTCTTACTTAGTGTAGAAGACACAATTACGTCACAATAGAATTTAATTACAACTGGTAATAAGAAACAATAAAAACAATGGTGTGACGTATATTGTGTCTCCTTCGCCAAGTGAGAGCCGATTTCTGTGGGGGAGGAGGCGGGGTGGGGTGGGGAAGAGTATGTGTCGGAAAACACGAAAGATGTTCGGAAGTCTATTGTGTCTATGAGTCAATCGGAATCTCTTCTTAACTCGTTCCCAGACTTCTTAAAATCGAAAGGAAAAGTGCTTGATAACTGACACTTTTATTGCAGCAAAGCTACTGGAATTGGAAATTCCGTCCGTCTATCGTCATGATCAATTTAGAGGAGATACTTACTCTTTAATTGCTTTCTACATTCTGTTTTTATTCATCGATCAACTATCTATAAGTTGGTAGAATCGTGTAACAGTTGGTGATCATTTGCTTAATTCTTGTGACGTTAATGTGTGGTTTAGGGGTGATATTGTAAGGAGAAATCAGATTTTAATCACTCTTAGGGGTTGAAGGGTTAATGATTGTATCCTCGGCTGATTGGTCTTTACAGTGCTGTTTCAGGGCGTTTCTCGATCCACTCCTTAATCTTAGGTTCATCTCTGACTTTCTTGTACAGAGTAGTAAGGCGAGGGCAATCTTTCAGCACGTCTGGAGGATCCAGTTGGCCTTTAGCAATGTATGAGTTGTAGAACGAGAAGAAGCAGATGTCCGCAAAGCTCAGCTGGAACAAAAAATGATTAAATGATTATTATGTATGAAGCCACTGAATAATTATATATATGAAAAGAAGAATTCAGAACAAGTTCATAAAGTCTGCCTATAGCGATAGCGGACTAGTCAATAAATTTTCGCCTAGGGTGGGGGTGGGGGGGTGTGGTGGATTATGGAGGAATTAAAAGGTTTTCACGGAGAACGAAGTATAAATAAGGGGGGGGGGGAACTATAGAAAATTAATGGTCAGTGAGGGGGGAGGGGGTGTCACTAGAATACTATAGAGCCTAATGAAGGGATCAGGTAAATTTTATTGTGGCAAAACCAAAATCCTCCGACCCCTCTCCCCCAGGTGTTGAATGATATCAGGTCTCAAGGATAAAAATGGTCTCAGAACAAGGTAGACATTCGTCTAGGTTACGAACCCTTGAGAGCAAAACCACTTGCCTTATTTCCAACACAGTAGACTTCATCTTTAGGATTCTTTTCCAAGATCTTTTCAAAGTACTTAGATCGCCTGGGTAAGGACTCCTTATTGAACTTTTCCATCAGAACTTTCTATGGATTTTTAAAGAAACGAAGAAATGAAAGAATTATTGCAAAGAAACGATTTGATTGGATATTCTTCAAAACTGAAATTCGAAAACGAAACCTACAATAACATCAATAATGATATTAATGAAAAGATGCAGAAGCAATTTATTTATCGCATTGTTGTAGCTAAAAAAGAGAATTACTTTCAAAGTCACAAATTAACTTTATTAACTTTATTTAATTTCGAAGGGCTGTATACTTTGGAATTTGGTAAAACGATAGAATTTTCGGCTTCTTTCAAAGAATTCTTTCTTTCGGACGTTTACAGTCACTGCGGTACACACGTTGAATAAAAAAACTGCCCTTGCCATCCCTCCTTCTATATTTTCCTCCTTAGAAGTCCTCTGACTCTCTTGATAAGACAACGAGCAACCTATCTTTCTTAGCCCAGTCCGTTACACGAGTCACAGGAAAACAGCGCAAAAAAAAAAAATAATAAATAAATAAATAAATAAAATAACTGACCGCCTTGCAAACCATGCTCTTTCCTCCCAGAGATCTTAGCGCGCAGTTCATCTTTTCGTTTCTCTTTCTCTCTCCCTTTTTTTTGCTCTTTTTCTCTTATTTCTTTTTATTCGCTTTATTGATTTTGACTTTGTACAATACCTGTTGGGCCGGATCAGCATGGACAATGGCACGAACGATCTCGTTCTCTAAATCGTACACTCCTTCAGCAAACATGTCTGCTTTGGCTTGCTGCAGATCATTACTGGGCATCAAACCTGTAAGGAACAAAAATGGACCTCTTGTTACTTAGAATTATTTCTTAGCCGTGAAATTCACTTTTCGAGAAAAGTTAGGTTACAGATTAGAGAGTAAGCGAGTCTGGAGCGCAGTCCATTCTACATTGAAGTAAATTTGAACACAGAAAAAAATTCTCATATAAAGCCGGAAAACAAATACCACTGAAGTTTCCTTCCCACACATCACAGCGATATGAAATAAAAAAAAAGTAAGCTACTCAAAATCACAACAAAAACAACAAAAAACAAGTAGAAAACAAAAAACTTTGACGTCAAGCGTTTTCGAAAAGCATATGTTCTACGTGTTTCCGTCCTTACCAAAACAAACTTTTGTTTTTTTTTTTTTTTTTTTCTTTTTTCTAATTTCTATGGCGCTTTTCATAACTCCGTTTTCGGTGGGTAGTTTATGCGTAAATTTGACGTAAATGTAGGATCAGAAAATACGTTGCGTTTTCAAATTCATCTGGCCTTATATGGACGGGGTCTGGTAATATCCTGTGTGTAGGTGCAATACCAGTCTCTTACGTTGGCGTTCTTATGGATGTCACGCAACGCTCCTTCCAAGAGAGGGCGTATAGCGTGACATCCCAAGGAACGGCTGCGAAAGAGATCACTAAAATACTTACCATGTCGTTTGGCTACAAACCGAAGGATAGCCATGGACTCGCAAAGGGTCACTCCCTCGACTTCAAGGATAGGTACCAGTCCAAAAGGGCACTTTCCACCTGTAGAGAAAACAGCGCTCTTAATATTGTTCAAAAACACATTTATCTTATACCTCATGATACTCGATGTAATCGATGTTCTAAGATTAGAACTTACTTTGTTTCAATGCCAACCACTCTTCGCTTTTAAGATCAAACGGGATACGAACATCTTCATAATCCACCCCAGCGTATACGAAAACAAGTCTTGTAGGCTCTCCCCTGGCTCGGAGATTGTAGTAAGTCAACTTGTATGTAGACGCCATTTTCGCGATGAACGTACAAGAGTGTTTACTCAAACCAAATGAGCGACAAAATGAATTAAATACTTGGCTGATTCTCTTATTTATATGCTGATCTAAAGCATATCGAGGTCACGTGCTATGAATATATGTTGACTTTTCGTAACCATTCCATCTGTAATTTCAAACATGGCTTCTACAAGTTATAATCAAACGCAGGTGACCTTTATTCTTAGGTCGTGAAAAGAAGACTAGATTCATGCATCTCACTTACACCTGCGTGCTGAAAAATTTTCTTTGCTCGCTGACCCATGTTCTGCTTCAGGAGATCCATTGTCTTGCTTCAGACTAAGCATGACTCAGCAAGCTTTGACGCTTCAACGAAAATATTTGCATATGTAAGAAGAACCTAGTCATGAGCCAATATCCCGAGAGGTTTGTCATCATGATGGAGCTTTCTTCACTTTCTCGAAGTTAGTGATTAAGAATCAATATCTGGAAATTTATTTTACGGAGACTCATCAAGGTTTTAGATCGCGCTAGATCTGGACGCTAACGTGGCGAGGGGTTTAAAAGTGTCAATAACCGAAAGAAACATGTCATGTTACGTTATGTTTTGGGAGTAAGTAATAGGAGATTTTTCAAATAAAATTTATCGCTTTTCCTTCGGTAATTTTTTTTAAAAATTGGGTAAGTCCAAACCACATACAGTTCTTATCAATTAGCCTATTTTTTGTTAAAATCTGTCTGAGCTAATCGAATTTATTTAGAAAAATGAAAAATGAAAGAATATAGGTAAAACCGTATGAACGACCTTAAGTTTTTACCATTTCCAAAGGCAATATCATTTCCCAAGAGAAGAAAATATCAACTCAACATTTGATATTCTCTAGTATTTCCACAATGTGGCAGAGAATAGAGGCATTTCGCCGTAGGAAAGTAAAGATCTTTAGGTATTTAAACCAAATATCAAAATATATCTGCCCGTCACAATAGACGATGTTGCCATGGTAACATCTAAAAATTAACAGAAAAAGCCTTGCTATATCGTTAGCTGAACTGGTAAATCTCTTGAGATGTGTGGTTTGATTCCTAACAATTGCGACAAGAGAAACCTTTCTGCATTAAAAAGCTTTCCTTAGTCAAATAAAACATTCCAACGGGAGAAGGACAGGTAGGGGGTTGAGGGTAGGTTAAGGGTACATTTTTTCATGCCTGCACAGGGAAAATAGGATATATCTCTTTATAACCAGACCTAATAGTTACTTTGATCAGGGTTACAGAGGTTAGGCTTAAGCACTTCAAGTCCATTTTCTCCCCTGTCATGGCCAATTTGAGTATAACGGGAATAGCTCATTATTTGAAAAAAAAAAAAGAAAGAAAGAAAGAAAGAAAGAAAGAAAATAAAGGAAAAAAAAGGGAATTGGAGAGGCTAAATTAAAGTAATGATATTGATAGCCTTTCTATCTCTGCATTCTTTGTAATTTCTTTCGAGTCTTTCAGTTCTGAAAAGTGGAAAAAAACAACAACTCGCTTGTTGTCTTCTCATATAATTTATTTTAAAATTAAATATTGTCATATCCAGACTGAATAGCATTTCAACCCTATTTAACCACCTGCTTATACATGATGTACACATTTGAAGCGATGTTCATTTTCTATTAACAACTCTTAAATATCTACAGTTTTTTACTTCATCTAAGGCTTCTGCCAGTGATTTACTCTCAATTTGGTCTCTCCTTTGTTGAACTGGACAGGATCTTTTGAAATCGTCTATCAGATTTTTCGCTTTCCTTGCCGTTTTCTCAGAATCTTCAAATTTTCGACGCAAAGCATGAGAGACCAGTGGAGTCGAAGATAACGTAGACCCATGGTCGTTACTCTTTCGTCGCGAGGAAAATTCTTCAAACACTGTGTCCTCAACTAAGGATATCGAAGACGTGAAGCTCACACTTTTAGAGACGGAAGGTCTTTCAGCTGAATCAGAATGTTTTTTAGACAGGATCGGCGAGGTTGGCGCACTGCGAGTTTTGATCAGCTCCATTGAAACTGGCCACGATGGCCATGGCATTCGTTTGCGCCGTAGAAATTCTGGAGTTCTCGGAGCAATCGGCGTCAAATGCACCCGTGCAGTGCACGATTTCGGTCGGGTTAATGATTTTTGAACGGTTGAGTTAGAGATCCTCCTTTGTCTAACATCGTTACAGCTGGGGATGACATAATCCCGGCTAAGTCGCGCTGAATCTAAGTTAGATTGGCCAGATAATGAACTTTCTCCTCTCCTTTTTCCAGGCGAGATTTTAGGCAAGGTAATATCTGGCAATGACGCGCATTTTTCTTTGGCATCTTGAGAAAGGATCCTTAATGGTGATGATTTTAGCCGGTGAAATTCTTGATCGCAGCTCAAGTCATTAAAAGATCGTGACAGACTGCTTAGGCTATGATTTGCCCCATCAACTTTAACGAAAGAACCATTCATTTCATATGCTTATTTTATGGCTCAAGTTTTCATACGATTTTCTTTCACCGATTTCGTCGGTCTCCCCGCGCCAAGACGAATCAAAGAGTAAAAGACGCTCGCTTTGATTCTATCGATGAGTTTCACCAAAGCAAACTATGATGAAAAAACCGTAGTGATGTTTCAATATTGGTATCAGCACACCTGTTCGTCACACGCCAAATAAAGCCAGTCTCTCCAAACTGTCATCCGAACTGAGAAGCGTAAAAACCCTTTGCGTTTCTCTTGCCAAACTTCATCGTTGGCTCATCATAGACTCTTGTGATAACAGCAATGAATCCGCTTCGTTACCATCTTTTGTCCTCATTAGATCCGTGTGATTAAAAAGAATCCCTCCTACCCTTATCTTTTCTTCGTTTTTGAAGTTTTTATCACCGAACGCCAAATGAAGCAGGCCATTTTATGAATACATAAAAGCGTCACGTGTGTTAATTGTTTTCAGGTAAAAGACCAACCTCTTGGATAAAACAAAGTGAGACTAATCCCGTAATGGATCGATCACCCACTCCAAAATGGTCGCAATAGTTTTCGGTGAATTCGAACATAAGCCTCCTTTTCCTGGAGACCCATTCCTGTCTCTTCTTTTATGAAATAGCCGTTCTTTAGCTGTAGTTGCTAATTATTTCTTGTTAAAGTTTGCACAAGAGGGAAGCACTTGAATAAAGCATCCTGTCGTCTTTGATGAGAAGGCAATAACCTTGATTCTGATCCAAAAACTCTTCGACTGAAACTCTAACTTCAAAGTGATGATCTAGGAAAGATTTTTATTATTTTCGCCAAACCCGCAACAAGAACAAAAAACCAAACCGAAAAAAGAAAATAAATAAATAAACAGAAAAAGCTTAATATTCATTAAAAGAAAAGCGATGCTTTCGACAGCTGACTCTATTTTAGATTTATGGCCTATTTTAAATTTTCTGCAAGAAACATTTGGTTTTAAATCATTTAAAACGACTCTCATTTCACAAACTTAAACTAATGCAGCGCGATTACTATTATATAGGCCTAAAACACAGTTGGGCCAAATATCTAATAGAGATATAATTTCATCCTCGTTAAGGTTTGTTTTCACTTTGTTTGTTTGATATTCTTATATTTTTCAATAAACGTAAAATAAATTAAATTGAAATATTTTGCACAAAAATTGAAGGTAGATAAAATAAAAAAAGAAAGTAAAATTAGCTCTAACGCTGGAAAACGTATTTTAAGGATAAAGTTTAAGGCAGATGGCACCGGAAAATAATTAGCATCTGAAGGAAAGAAGAAAAATAATATTAAAAAATTTGGTTCAGTTATTGTAATCACCACTCGGTGCGCCGAAAAGAGCATCAAAGTGCATTTTGTGTTGAGAAAATTGATATTGAGTCGTGTTGGCCTAAGAGATTTTTTTGTTTTTGTATTCGTGCATTCACTTCTACAGAGCCAGTATGGCTATTATCAATCTACAGAGCCAGTCAAGGTTTGTTAATGACACCCATCAAATTATCATGGTTATTCAACACCGATGAAATGAAAAGAGCTACAAGAGGAAGACCAGGAGTTAGCGCCTTGGCTCAGAGCCAATGGGTTTGAAATGAAGAGTTAAGTTGACACCCAAGGTTCAAATAATGACACCCATCAAATGTAAACTTGCCGACAATAACATGGTTATTCAACACCGACAGCAACAACCAAGAAAACCCGGCTACAAGAGGAAGACCAGGACGGTAACAATACTATTTATCGTCGTGACTCGAATTTCTCAAATAACGGCAATTCCTCAATTCGTTCATCATGTCAGAGAGTGATTTCCCTTGATTTGTCTCTTGTCTAGATTCTAATTCTGAGAGCCCTGTTGCAGAAACTTTTCTGCTGCCTCTGTCAATCAAAACCCGTGTTGCCAAGGCAGCTTGACTCACGCGTCGTAACTTTGTGATACCATTAACTGAAATATTTCCAGAGCTGGATCCATTCTCAGATTTGCTTCTTGTTCTTAATCCCAGGGTGTTTGTGGTCGTTTCCTCCGCTCCTGCTACTTGTCTTAAATAGCTTTCTGTCGGTCTCTGCAGCTCCTCTAATCTAGCCTTCGTCAGAATTTTTTTGTCGGGTGATATACCAGTTTTTGGGTTTTCAGGGCTTGCTTTGGTAGTTGCACTGCGGAATCTTTGTGCCGCAATCGCCACAAGCGCCAAGGGACGAAAGCTTCTTAATCCATCTATGTTTTCTCCAGTTTCGCTTTTTGTTGAATTCTGTTCCTTAAAACTCTCTTCATATCGCGATATTCTCGAATTCCGGTTTATCGCTCTTCCGGGGGGTGCTTGCACAGTCGAAATCTTTCTACTTGGAGTCATGCTTTTGTCGCTCCAGGCGTTTCCATGGTGATGAAGCCCTCCCCTTGCACCTGCTGCTGTTGTTGTCGCGATTGTTAACTCATGCAAATCCAGTTTTCTTTGATCTCTTGATAAGCTTCCTTTTCTTTGAAAAGTGTTGCTGCTTTCTCTACTGGTTTCTACTTCAACTTCCTTCTCCAAGTAAATATTGCTTATTCCTCGTGACAAATCCGCTTCCTCAAGCTCTAGAGTTGAAAATTCCTCAGAAATATGACCTCCGCTTACATTTAGTTCGGCTTTTTGAAATTGTCCATTTGCAATTGATGTTCCAGGTGCTGCTCTGGGAATATTTTTATTTTCTTCTTTTCCCTGTGACTTAATATTGATGTCAATATCATTGGGGTGACTTTGAAATCTGGTCCAATTTCCATTTGAAATTTGCCTTCGATTCTCGAGTACTTTTTTGGGAACGCTTGGCAAATTATCTCGTCGATATTTGCTTATGTTTTCCGATGTTGTCTCATTAACCATTCTGGATGGTGCGTCGATACATAAAGATAAACCAGTCGGCAAATTTGTCTTCGTCATTGAATATTCCGCTTCAGATTTCGTGCAAGATAAATGGTCGTTGAGAGAGCCAGCTGACTTTCCACTCGGTATCTTGGCGTTCAAAAGGCTGCCACTGAATCTACTTTGACTGAATGTATTGCTGTTATCGATACGCGAATTTGAAATTACAGAATAATGATGAGGATCTCCGGAAGAAGCCGCTAAATCAATATCAAAGGGAGTTAGTTTTCTCCTCGGAACGCTGACAGCTTGGCGCTCTCCATAGTCGGTTTTCCGACCTGAAAAGTCTTCTGGGTCACTCACTTTCCTACCACTGTTTATATCACTAAAAAGCGAGGCTCTACTGCTTTTAGATCTTGTATCGCTTGGAGCAGATACTTCCCGGACTCGGCCGTGAATTTCTGGTAGATATGAACTTTCTGCACTTACAGAATCATAGCTGGAAAAGAGGTTGGTACGCGAGGATCGTCTCTGCCAATGTTCCATAACTGTGGCTTTTTCGTTTTCACTTCTGACATTTTGGGCTAAAAAATCCCTTGCTAATGTGTTCTGTCTGCTTGAGATCTTTTTGAGGCTTTTGTCTTGCTCTCTTTGAAACTGGTCCAATTTTTTCCGCAGTATGGACTGCTCGTGGAAGTAAGCTACAGAAATCTTTTCTGTTTGCGCAAAATCAGTATTTTTCCTCTTATCCATAGTACTTGGCTTTGAATATTGTTGACAAAGTTTTACTGCAACGCAATCCAAGTCAAATTCATGAAGAGTGTTTGTTTTAAACGGAAACTAGCATGGATTAGCCTTCAGAGCGGATTTTTCCTCGATGCGAGTTAATGAAAAACTGTCTCCCCATGATACTTTTCCAAGGTGAGTCGATTCGAAGAAAATTGCCTCGTATTTACCCCGATGGCTCAGACGCAAGGACAAAAACACCACAAAGGGACTTACCAGTCAGTATATCTGTAAAAATACCATGTGAAATAGGGTCAATTTAATGTTTACTATTCATGAATAATTTACATGAAATCTGTGTGATGTCTTTATCAATGTAATTCTTGGCACTTAGATCTTAGCCTAAATTAAAATTTAAAAAGAAATTTTTGCCCTTATAATTCATATTCGTGTGCTTTTTACCGTTTAGCCCCGTGAGTAATGGGTCAAAACATTGTTAAGTGTTGATTTTCCAGTTAAAGGTTTTTGTATCAAAAGAAACTACCGGCAAAGGTCTTGATAACTTGATCTCACTTAATACCTTGAACTGACAAAAATATGATTATGTAAAAAAATAAATAAATAATTCAACGACTTCCATGACTTGTCACCCGCAAACACGATATTTAGTATGGCGCAAATAAGACACTATTAGCATTTGTTTTGTCAGTACTTTATCATTAACATCAGGGAAAACAAGAATTTTTAATCGGGCACAAGCCGATGAAGAAGTCAGGCAAATTGTAGGTGCGGACCTTTGTAAACTTGCTTTCCGGGCACATTATTTTCCTAACCGAAAACAAAACAACTAAACCAGAAAGAAGACAAATAAACTCACAAAACATTGAGTGTTAACATTCTTTCAAAAACACAGAGAAATATGAAACTCCATCCCGATTCTCTAAGAGCAAAACGAGAATTTAAACTTCAAGCCTGCGATGTAGAGCATAAACTAACGATTGGTTCCACTAAAAATGGGCGAGACAATAGAAGTCTGCTTCATATTGTTCACTTAAACTTTTATCTTTTCATGAATTGTCTTTAAAGTAACATAAAGATAATGTATACAAGATAAGTGCAGTAATTGTTTTCTTTTTTTTTGTGGTTCACTCGACGGAAAAATCCATTTGCCATATATTTCGTTTTGTAATAGTAAACAGGAAATACGATAAAAGAATACTTTTTCGAAAATAAATAATAAATTAGAACTTTTCAGTATGTTATCGAGTATAATGTAATCATTGCTCCAAAAGCTTAAAAAAAATTAAGGAATTATTCAAATTTACTTGCTTCGGTCAACAGCCGTTCATTTGAAATATTTGAATGCGTTTGTCATTATCATATTTGCTAGACAATTACACCAGTTTCACCTTCATAATATAGATGTAGCTTTTGCTTAAAATTCGATAGGAAATCATTGAGGTTCTTTTGTTTCATTCGCCGTTTGAAATTTCTAGAAGATTAGTGTGCGCTATGCCTCCTTTTTAGACTAGAAGTTTTCTGTTTTATTGATTTCTATAAATAAGTTAAGCTTGCTTCCAAATTTGTGGATCATCATCTAAAAAAAAATCAAATCAAAATAACGACGATTGAGAGTGATTCTTTTGTTTCCACAATACGAAATGAAATTGTTTCCCATTTCATGAGTCAGCCATGGCAACTTCTAACTGCATGTGTCACATTCGGTTGTAATACCTTGATTCCCTCGATTTTTAAGTTGTACCTTCCGCTAAATTCGGTTGCTTTCTTGGTTTTCCTTGGAAAATCTTAAGTATCGACAACATTTTAAATCATCGATGCCCTTTTCATTGCTCTCTGGAGTAGCATCGTTCACTTCCAATTCACCGTTTTGAGATTTTTGGGAATACTTCGAGGTACTGCTTGATGATTTTTTTTCGTAAACATTTTTAAACCAGGAGAAGGAAGAACCTCCATCACTTGCTTCTGTCTTAGTAAGAATTTTCTTGCCGGGAAAATTGAGCAGCCTTTTCGGATCTTTCGAGAAGCTGTGTGATGGGAATGCCTGAGTATTAGATGTCGACTTGGGTCGATGAACATAACCTCCTGAATCAGCTGGGGATTCCAGTGGGGTTGTTTTCGGGCTCTTTTCTACGAAACGCGGTGAAATACGTCTTCTTTCCGAGACCTCATCTATGTTTACACCTCGAGTTGAAGTAGAAATATTAATTTTCTTTCGCATCATCTCTTGCGTGGTGATCAAAAGCGGCTGCAGCATTGTAACTGGAGCTGTTTTAGACCTTTCCAGTTTTTTATGTTCTGTAAGCTGCCACTTGGTTATTTGAGCACTGTGTGGCGAGATAGTGGACTTTATTCTCGGTTTAAACTCTTCACGATTGCTTGATGCTCTTTCAGCCGAGTTTCCAATGCTCTGAACGACATGATGCTCATGTTTTAGGGTGGGGAAGGAGCATGTGTTTGTACCAGTGTTTGTTGTCGATCTATCCCCTAGATCTGGAAAACTTTGCGAACGTCCAAGTTTTAATTTTTGTTCGTTAGTAATAGGAATTTTAGTAGAGTTACCATATTCACTTCCCTCTACGCTCTGCAAAGAATGGTTTCCATATAATGGATCTGTCGCTAGTTCTTTCATAGATTCTCTGATTTCAACAAGTTTGCTAGAAACCTGGGCGATCTCCTTTTTATGAATCTTGCGATAGGCGTTTATCTTCCGGCGAAGAATTTTATCTTCATGCTCTTTTAGGGTAGAAATTCGCTTGGTGGCTGATGGCCCATACGCATCTCGTTCGACAGACTCTTTGGAATCGTGCGAAGACATGATAGAGAATGCTTCTTTTCAGTGAAATTCAGACTGAATAACAATCATTGTGGCATTGCCTGTTTGAAACCAAATACCGATCGAAAATGTCAAAAGCTGTTAAATTTTGAATTAATTGATGGCAATTCGTGACTCTTTCCTTAAGCCTAGCACATTTAATCGTGGCCTTTTTTATTACCTTCACTATCTCGCGAAATTTGATAACGATAATCCCCCTTTTAGTGTTATATACAAAAAGCTTTTCCTTTATTTCTTTCCTTTCCGAAGGTGAACGTCATTAACTCAGCTTGAAGTTTAATCAATTTCAGCATTTTTGACAGGCAAATTTGCAGCTTACTCGTTTATTTTGGGGTCGTTGCCGGGAGATTTGAAGAGCTTGTTCAACATTTTTTTACCTCCTAGTGGGCTTCAGGCAATTTTGCCAAGGGCCACCTGCTAAAAATGACTGACTGTTTGTCAATTTCGTTGAGTTGTTAATATCTTCATTTTATTCCTTTCCGAATTTCTACTGCTCTCAGATTCTATGTTGCTTAAAAGAGAAAAGTATGCCAGTTTTCACATCGTATACTTTACATCTTTGCTGATCTTTTACAGTAAAATTGATGCGCTCATGACAATAAATCATTTCCATAAAAAATATAAGCATTTCCTGAAGCGTTTATGCAAGAAAAACATTGAATCGATCTTTCTGAATATTTACATATTTCATATTAAGTATCATGTACCAGCTATTTCATATGCAATGGAAGATGATAGCAGAAAAACTTCCTTTAAACATAATTAATCATTTCTAAAAGTGAATGATGGGCTACTCAAAGTACTTTGAAATAGTGAATGGTTTCGTCAATCGCATTGAATATCTACAAACATATCATGAATTAAGTGGTGTGAATTATCTCTACTATTATTGAAAATATTTCATAACAGACTCCTTCATGTCCCAGTTTCTATCCTCTTTCCATTCTGTACACCTTTGTTTTTATTTGGTACCGCGGAAATTTATCACATGCTTATTGCATTGGCAGAGACCTCAGAAATGAGCACGTGAGGATGTTGACGTCACCACATCACGCGCTATTAAAGATCGCACTTTGGCCGGCTAAATTAGGGTTTAGTTCAAAAGTCGTTTTCGTTATACAAAATCTCCTTGTGGTAAATCTTCGATTTCCGCTACGTGTTTTTTCAGAAGAGAGCATCAAGCCATAGCGCTTGCCATGTTAAAACGCTAAAATCTCAGAGTTTGCTCGAAAGGTTCCAGCAATTGTTATGAAAAGTTATGTCTGATCGTTCTAGGATGTTAAGGTCATCGAAGTCAGTCTTACACGTGAGCAGCACTGACGCTTCACTCAAGGAATCAAGGTTCTATTGCGCATACAAAGGACTATGTACTCTTGGAACCGGCAGAGAAGGTATCTTACCTCATGTTTACACGAATCATACACACGTTTCTGTTATGGGAAAGACCTCTGCACTTATTGCTACTTCCTTCTTTTTCTTTGAGAAAAGTAATACTCATGCCTTGCATCAATACAGCCAAATCATTTGTCTGTAAACTTCTTGATCAGTTTATTTTTTTGGCTTTGGTTTGCGATCAATCAAGGTTGAAGACTATACAGCCAAAGAGACTTTCTTAGGAACAATTCTATTAAATGGATTGGAATTTTAAATCTATCAAGATCGCGTTTTCAGTCTTTTTATTTACTTGCTATTTGGATCGTGGCGGGTGTCCCCAAGGATGATCAGAAAGGACTTTGTACCATGTTTTATAAATAGCCTTCCTCTGGCTTTAAAAGTTTTAAAGTGTGCTCACATTTTTTAACATGTAAAGTTTGTTTTTTTTTTTATTGAGACATTTACTTTACCTCTAGACTGTTGCCGTGTGAAAACTGGTAGTTAGATGTACAAAAGAAAATTCAAGTGGGAATTGAGGTTTTTGGGCACACTCTTTCATGGAAGACAACGGAAGTATGAAACTGTGAGTAAATTCACCTCTACTTCAGATTTTCAAGTTCACAATGACTCCAGCGACGAATAAGGCAATCAACTCTTACGCGTAATAAGCACAGGCAGAAATATTGTCTACAGAGTGTACAATCTCGAAAGTCGGCTGTTTTCACAACAACTATCAACATATAAATTCCGCGTAAATTATGCTTTTTTTTTCCAAAGGAAACCAGAAAAATTTATCAGCGAAAATAACATGGTCAAAGTCCAAATGGTGGAACCATTGTGTGACGCATTCTCTATTTCTGTTTATGTTTTGGTTCATTTGCTAATCAATTACGACAGGAACTTCTTGCTTTGAATTCTATCACAGTTGAAAGGAAAATTATTTTTTTTGGACTGAGTTAAGAATTTCGAAATTATATGTACCATTACGTTGTGTCTTGGATTACGTTTGACCTTTCGGTAGTTTTACGAGTTGTAATTCGGAGAAGCTCTCTTTTCTCCAAGGTTGCATTGTATTAGTAACCATTCTGGGGCGTGCAGTCATGGTAACGTGATATCGAATATCCATGCAGATAACCCGAATAGTCGAATACTTGTATTACAAAAATGGCTCAGAAAACTACACGGATAACGACTCCAACAGCAACAAAAACAATAAGCTTCGGAAGTCTTCGAATTCGCCGCCAAAAGCAAGCTTCGAAAATGTACGCCACAGTACAAACAACCACTCCCTTTTAGTGTTTGTGATAATACAGAAAGTTCGGCGATCGGTTTGTTACTTTGGGCCCTTGGAAAAGAACATGACAGGTCCTCTTCAGCGAAGCTATATCGCACACCCTATATGCTTTATATAGAATTTAACACTAAAATTGACCGTTGAACATCTAAAAAAAAAGGTCCATGTGATTGGTTTGTGCTGTGCGAACTCTACAAATGAATACGCTTTATTTTCTAAGCTACATAATTGCTATCTACAAAGGTGTGGGCATAGACATACCAAGAAAAGATTTCACTCATATAAGCTATTGATTTCATCAACAAAGGCAGAATTCTTTGAGACAGGAGGCTTTCAGCTCCTGAAACAATTTTCACCCATGCCAATATCGGATCGTTTGGTCTGGACGCCGCTAATTTCATTAAAATAGGGCTTACTTTTGTATAAGTTTTGTTTCGGCTTACACTTGAAGTCTCGGTCGGCGTTTTAAAGTAAATTAATACATGTACTACATTTGAGGCAAAGTTTTCCTCCTGTCCTTTGGCAAAAACGGTATGGTCGTGTCCATGGATATTTTCTTGCGTAGAAGACTTGATGTTGTTTCTTTGTAAGATGTAGCCTGCCTTTCCAGCCTCCGTTTTCGAGGGCTTTCACAAGAAGGAGGACTTTTCATAAAAACCATAACTTCGTTTGTACTGTGTGAGCCTTTCAGTTGTCTTTCCGGTGGCAAGCGTTTAATAAATAATTTGTCTTCAGTTTCACGTTGCGTTAACAACCTGTGATTAAAAGTGTTCTTGGTTGAATTCCTTACATTTGATGACAGCGAGTTTGGTTTTTCACAGTTTATATCAAGTTCTGAACGATTGTCATTATCCTGTGAAACGTCGTAAAGAGCTGCCTCTTCCAATGGTGAGGCTCTGCGATAAGAGGGCATGCTAGGCATCCGAGCCCTTTGCGACATGCTTGATTTAAAATGTTCAAAGTTAACTGCATTAGAGCCATTTTCTGCTGGAATGACTGATCTACTCAGTGGTTCAAGAAAACCAGTACTAACTGCATTTACTCTGTCGTTCTTCATCGGAGGTGGAACAATATGATTTTTATGAGTTGGTTGGTTCACAGTCTTACATTCTGAGGGAATTTTTCCAGCCGCTATTGTACCTACATCCATTGATCTCCTCCTACTAAACAGCGTTGGCTTGTAACCAGCAATTGTCCTGAGGTGGTTTAGCGGTGCATCTGATTGCATTTCACCGACGCTGTAACTGCGTCTACGCTCACAGACCCTACCAGAAAAGGAACCCTTTCTTTCTCTCTGTTGGCGTGATAAATCTGTGAACGAAGAACTGTTCTTTACTCTTTCCATTTGATTCTCGTTGGTGGAGCCACTTAGCGGGTTCAAAAATATCTTTTCATTGCTATGCAATCTCGCATCTTCACGTTGAAAGTTATTTGTGTGCAGAGCTGCCTGGCTCTTTCCAGTTCCGTCAAGCGGACGTTCTTTGGAAGATATTTTCTGCCGTTTCAGTATATCATCTGCAGAGATTGCTGTGACGCATTTTAGCTCTTGCATAAACCTTTGCAACTCCCAGATAT